AAGCAGCCTTCGCCGTCAACACAACCCACAACGCATCTTCACAATTTTCACCCTTCGCCTTGCTCCACGGCTACGTCCCGAAAATGCCTCATCAAAAGCATCAGCCCAAAAACACGGAAACCATGCACGAGCGCTTGCTCAGATTATGCGCCGACCGAACAGACGCACTTCAGCGGAGTGAAGACGCCCAACTTTCACGTAAAGCTATCTACGATCGTTCTCACAGGGATGGTAGAGACTTTGAGCCCGGAGACATCGTGTGGATTCGCCGCCAGCAACCCGTGCCCGACGGAATGGAAAAGCTGTCGCCCCGGTTTAAAGGCCTCTACGAAATTGTTGGGAAGCCCACGCCTGTGACATTCCGCGTTCGACCAGTGCCCGCCTTCGGTAACACATGTACCACCAACGAACGCACGGTTCACCGCTCACAGGTGAAGAAATATTCGCCACCATACGTAGATCCAACTCTCACAGACCCCCATGTCGGTGATGTATCAGCGCCATCGCCAACCCCCCTCCCTGATCCGACACAACAGGAGCCAGAACTCCCCACACTCGCGCCTTGCCCGGACATCAACAACTTACAAGACCATTCATCAAGCTGCGAAACACCCGCCGCTGAGTCACCGCGCCCCACATTCCGCCGACCCCGCCGAACACGCACTCTGCCCTTGCGCCTTCAAGATTTTGATATATCCACAGAGTAGTTTCGCCATTTCGCTTGCCATTAGTTTTATAGCCTTATAGCCACGTTTCTATATAAGTATCCCTAGAATAGCTGCGCCTTTCGCTTAGCCATTTGTTTTATATTCATAGCCACGCGGACGTGGCCTATAGAAGTGGGGTGGGATATGAGCATATATGTTAACCGTAGCCATCTGTTATTCTTCCATCCCCTCTGCCGCCCCCGCTCCGTTCTTTCCTTCCAAATTGCTCCCCGCAACCCGAGTTCTCTAGAGCCAACGAGCCCTCGCCGTTCAAACCACCGTCCATTCTTCTCGCCCTCAGTTCTACCCATCGCCCAAATGTAAACACCAGCCAAGTCGACTCTGCTCGCAAGCCCCGGCAGCCGACTTCTTCGCCGCAGCTGTAACCTTAGCCCTCACCTCATAAACTAGCCTCGCCCTCGCCCCTGCCCCGAAGCCGTCGCCTCTTCGCCTCAAGATTCTTCAAGCCTGCGTTCTTCTCTTCCAGTTGCTTCCTCCCGTCCCACTGACTCAGACATACCTTCCTTCTCCCGTAATAAACAGTTATCTTAATCTTTAAACTTGTTCTTTCTTCCTGGGGCCTACCACCGGCCTCACAGTATATATAGTTCCGAGCATGCAGTTGAGGGTTCATGTTTAAAACTGAAACCGATATATGAGGTGTTGCCCTTATCGAACATTGTGATATTTTCCCAATCTGAATGTCATTAGGCGTAAATGTCATTTTAGATACCGTCTGACGGGGGTATAAGATAGGTGTCTGCTTGAAGCGGGTTTTACAAACTAAAAATTAAAACAAATACTAAAATTTCCTTTCTTTTGAGCGCATCTTCTGGACAGAGTGTCAGTGTCACGGTCTACCAAGACGATCTCATAACTGCAATCACTTTCCCGCGATGCGAAGTGTCTCCTGGAAGGACGATCGCTTATTTTATAAATATGCGATAAAATAGAATAACTATAAAGCGACTTTCATCGTATTCTGACACTAAGAGTTAGCTGTACAAAAAATAAGCAGGCGTCTCCTTGATAAAGCAGCAAGCTTCCAAATCTGTTCATTCTTTTTCTTTTTGTTCATCTTTGATTTTATGATGTAAAATGAATGCCCGGATGAAGGGTGGCATCCCGTTTCCGAATTTTGAGGATGCGGTTGGGATACGAATACAAAGCCTGCGGATGGCGGATCGGATGCGGATACATTTTTGCAAGAGCATTGTGGATGAGGATCGGATGATTAAACTGTTATCCGCGCAGGACTCTAATCATAAGTAAATGCATCCCCAAATTATCTGAGAGATTCTCTGCAAACCTTCTTCGGCGTTTGTACCCTCGATACGCACGTGTAGAGTGATTTGGGTAAACCTTAAAGTTTTTTTTTTTTTTTTTTTTTTATTATTTCGAAACCGATTTAGATAACTATGCGTTCCTAGCACATATATAACTTCTCAAAGATATAGAAGTCTGTTATTGCCTGTTTTATGTGATGAACGGCAAATTTGTGTCTGTGGGTTGGACATAAAGAAATTAAACAGGGGCGCGTGGTGGAACTGTGACGATTACGCATGCAGACCGTTAGAAAGTGACCAATTAAGTAGCTTGACTGCCATGTCGAGTAGCCCATGAGATAATATACTTTGTTCTATTTAACAAAAAAAATCAATTAGCAAGGGTGATGCTCATTTGCAAAATGAATTGACCGGCATCTTGTCAAGAACCAATCTCAACTGTCAGGCTATACCAGCTTATCTTGTATAAGAAAATGTGCACTTGGGTACACGCTAATTTAGGCCAAATTCGATCTGAGCACGAACGTGGGTATAGATTAAACTGAACAATTTTGATCACTCCTTTCTGCTTGATTCCTTGCCTGCATCACCGTGCTGAGTGTTAACAATGTTGGTTAGGAAAACAAGCGTTGTGAAGAATACTGCACAGTGTTTCTGTAAAAGGTAAACTGAAAGGGTTAGTCCTAAAACTTTCGTGACATTTTGAAAATATTAATTGTGAAACATCATTCGTAAACTACACTTCACTATATATATGGCGACCGAGGTGCCCATCTCATGATTTTATGCACTGTAATTAATTCCTCAACTCCAGAGCGCAACTATGATTTAGCTTTAATACTGCAACACAAAGTTGTACCAATCTTGGGCGTTTTAGGCGACCTACCACAGTTCAATATATGTGACTGGTGTAAACAAATCAATGTTGAGTCGTATTGCGTCAAAATGAAACAACGCAATTTCTTATTTTTCTACCTGAAAATAAAGGTGAATTGTATGAATGATAAAAAAAGGCTCGAGGTACACCTAAGCACTTCTTATGAGTTGGGAATGCGAAAGCATGAATGTCGTTCTTCCGCTCCCTTAGTTCGTCTGCAGCGTATTTGCGTCGACGGCAGAGCGGCGCGCTGCCGGCGAGGAGCTCTGACCTTGGACGTTTCGTGTTAGCGGCGCGCTGACGGACATGCAGCGCCATGGGGTGGCCGTCGTTGAAACTGATGCGCAGTGGCCAATGGGAGCCTCGTCGACGCACGCCAGCCAATAGGATTGAAGCCGAAAATCCATCAGCTTTACTCCACTCCTTTGGGATCGGGGAATTTAGGTGCCATTGGCTAGCTTTTCGCGGGGTTTCATAGCTGGGAGCTGGCTTCACTTGGAGAAAGGATCTAAGGTGCCGTTTGGCGCAGTTTCAAAACTGATGATGTTGGCTCGCTCCATTAGATAGTTAATGCTTTCACATTAAAACTATAGAGTTACTCGTTTCACGGGGGAAATAGTGCCTATTGTCAACACAACGCGGAAAACATCTTCTCAGTTTAGTGGTGCAGACCGGTTCGAGCAATTATTTTTGCTCCCTGAAACTGAACTGAAAGCCATGAACCCGAACCAACAAAAATTTCGGTTCGACACTCTGGTTTTGATTACGGGGAGCAGGATCTCTGGTGCAGAAATGTGCCGAGATATTTTAGCATTGTAAAATGCTGCTGGAGTGGTTTTCGATTCTGCCCAGCAGAAAGGGTAAATGAAAAAGGTTAAATATGCAAGTAATTAGTAACTTAATTATTGCGTGCATTATAATTTTTTCTAAATGAGCCCTTTGCCAGAGACAAATATGCCATCTTTTATTCTGCCTAATGCAGTTTTTGCAACAATTTGCCAGTGGTCTGGGACACACTCCACATGTCCCTTCTGCATTATTTTTTCTCTGGGACCTAACATGTCCCCCAGTTTTTCAATATTATTTTTATATTTTAGGGAGGCAGTTGCTAGGTAGCTTACTAGTCAATGAAGCACAAGGAAGCAAATCAGTTTTGTGCTTATGATGCGCTTCTTTCCTTGCACAAGTGTACCCCTTTTGCCAAAGAGCCCCGAATGGAACAAAGCCCATCAAATATAAACCCTTTTTTTTAAATTTGGCGAACTGGGGAGGTCACAACCCCCACGAACCAATAGGAGCATCAGAAGAAGATACGCAACCTCACGTCACGAAAGCGTTGGTGTCCCTGCACCAAATGCAAGTGCCGGAGGAACCGGCTGTCGTCCGCTGGCGAAGAGTTGTCTGCTGCGAAATCAACCAACTTTGGATGAACGTCCACTGCTGCAACATTGCCATCTGCTATAGCAAGCTCTTTAGGAACAGTTTATGAGACAACCACACGCTCACTTCACCCGAAAATCTGTGGCGGGTGATAATGCCAGGGCAATGTTTTGAGTGTAAGGAATTGATTACAGGGCTGCCATCGTTAAAACATAGTTCAAAAGCCACGTTTTTCTTGGAAAAGGGTTCATCCAAATTAAGCATCATTGAAAAGTAGCATGTCTTCGTCTTTCTTTCGTATCGTGTTGCGTAGTGTCAAATAGACCGACTTGCAGCACCCTAGGCCCATTGTTACAGCTTCCAGATGATCTCGAATGCTGCGACCTTACTTTACCAAATACTGGAATTACAAAGCCTTAGTATGTAAGGTGTCCCCCATGAGGTCTTGACATTGACGTCTTTAAACTAAACGAGAAAAAAATTTCAGCAGAGGCTTCATAATTGACAAATCTCCTTTACCGAACGTCTCTCAATCAAAGCTCTCTGCTGCAGTCCCAACTTTTCTTTCCGCCCTCGGTAATTTGTGAGGCTAGTGGGCATGCTTACCGTTACCCCCCCCCCCAACAAAGGAATTTCCACCGACCCGAATCATCTTGTCTTTTCAGTGAACCAAAAAAGGTTGCAAGGGCCACTCGGGCAGCGGTGCCGCCGATTTCAGCGGCGCCAGGAAGAAATAAAGCCACACACTTGTAATTTGTTACGTCTCCTCTTTTATTTACGTTACTAATAACTTATGTGTATCACTGCTCTGCGTGGTATTCACCAAGAAAAAAAAAAAGGAGGGGGGAAGGTAGAGGGGCCCGCCGCCCCCGTGGGCCGGGGGGAGCCCTCGGTGGATGCTCGTATGTACAGGGGGGGAGGGGGAGGGGGGCGGGCCGGCCACAACAAACGGGGTCCTTCTCACATCAAAAATAGAGCGCATGAAGATGATGACCGCTGCAATCACATCGAAATGAAGTGGTGGTGGTGGTGAGGGCAGCCGGAGTGCCTCCGCAGGACGCTGCGACACGTGCAAAATGTTCCGACACGCTGGCCTGGTATAGATACAGACTCCTTTGAAAAATGGTTTGAGCAAACAGGAGAAAAACAGCAAGGGCAGCACGCCACGTTCCCGCTCTGTATGTTGTTGTTGTTTTCCTGGGCATTCTTCCTATCTCTCTCTCTGTGCATCTAACTGGAAACCGTTTCTTGAAATTGGGAAGGGAACAACCTGCATCAACGTTTGGTACGGCAATTCTCCTCTCTTCCGTCGACGGAAAAAATTAAAGGACCGCTAAGACTACTGGAATGGAATAGTCCTTTCTTGTTTTAAACGTGATGGGTTTTTTTTTTATTTTTTTTTTTTTATTTTCTTTTCTTGCACGAAACAATGTCCGGATTCAACCGAATGTCAAAAGAGAGGCCTTCTTTTGTTTGGGATGCAAAAAGGACGCTTTCTCCTAAACTCCTCCCATCAATCTTGGCCTAGCAGCTTTCATCTGCCCTCCAGTTCCAATACGCTTGTCATGAAGATTTTTTTTTTCCACTTTGAAAACTGTGAGGTGTGACTCGAAAAAGACATCACAAAAAATCCCCCCTCCCCAAGATTCAGAAGAGAAAAAATGTACAGACAATACAGTACACATGTAGTATGTATATACAAAATCTACAGCTTTGCTAGACTACTTGTTTCAAAACAACAGAAACATCTCAGTCCCTAAGAACAAAGGAAGCAACCATTATAAAGTACAAATAAAAAGCAACATTTCCTTTTTGCTTCCTCGGAGACATTAAAAAAAAGAAAAAAAGAAACGGATTAAAAACTATACCAGGTACAACTTCTTTCTTCTGTACAGAACTAAACATGGGATGAATGAAATCAGTGGACTTCTGTACATTCTTGAAAGTGAATGAAAAACGCAACGCAATCACTGTATAAGAGCAGAACAGAAATGCAACGCAACTTTACAACTGTACAGTCAGAGACGGAGTTGCCTCTTGGCAGCGCTCTCTCCACAACCATGGTAAGGGACATCCGAAGTGACTAAACTAAAATGATAGTTTGTCCTCTCTCTCCTATATATAGTATGTATATGCAATGAAATCCCTGACTCTTTTTTTTTTTCTTTCATCCTATGAGTGAAACAGAAACTGTACAACATTACCATCGCTTGGTTTTGGACACACACATGCGCACGCGCACAAACACACACACATGCAGACCTACCACATATGCATGGGGACAAGAAAATTTAAAGGGGAGCCCAGTTTTCCTCATCTATGTACACACTTAAAATCTTTGCCATATTTACTTATATCACATAGTTGTTTGAGCCTGCATTTATATATATATATATATATATATAGCATTTTCTTTTCTTCGACATATTCCTCCCCGAGACGGCGGTGCTCTCTCACCCGGGGATTATATATATATATATATATATGTATACATACATAAATATATGTACACACACACATCAACTGGTATGTACAACCTCGTCCCCAAATGCAGTGCTGGACAACAGCGTCACTCGTCCGACAACAGAAACGGGGGAGGGGGCAACGTGAGCCCGCCGCGACAGGGGACGACTAACTTTGCAGAGCACCATTGGTTTCTCGGGTTTTGGTTTTGCTTGTCGGGCGTGAAAGTGAGTGGGGGGACACGCCGCCAGGACCTAGACGGTGGCGATGATCACCAACAGGTGGGCGATGTCGCTGACACTGTGCAGGAGGTCGGGCGCGATGCGGGCCAGGTTCTCGTTGGAGAACTCGCACGAGGGGAAGATGTGGATCACGTAGGCCGGCTGCAACCAAAGGAAGAAACCCCGTTAGGTCCGAGCTCCCTCCCGGACGGAGATGGCACCGACGCAACAACCGCCGTTCTGAGATTAAGTCTCGTGCTTGTAAACTGCCGTGCGCACTAGGGAGGTGCGAATAGTGATTTTTCAGTAGCGAATACAAAGCAAATAGTTCCAAATAATTTCGAAGTGAAGCGCATAGTTTGTGAACGTCACTACAATCATGGTAGTGAATTCCGAGACTAGGGAACAAAAATAAGGTCAAACGCAACAAGGTGTGAAAGGTAGTTCACCAGCATGCCTACAAAATGAGTCTTATTCCAATACAGTCATGTCTAATTAATATGGACACTTCCGTTGCCCAGAAAAATCGTCCATAACGGTGAACCAAGGTCAAGATCACAAATATTGAACAAGAAGCGTGGCCATGAAAGACACAGTTAATTTAGGAAAAATAGGCTGAGGCTCATTTGCACAGACATTTTGGTGTTGGCTAGTAGAAACGCAATCCACAATAGATTTAAGACAGCAGACCTGTTGCTCCTATTTTTATTGCAACTTGTGTTCCAGCCTTGATTGGTGAATTCATTTATAGTATGTACTGCATACAAAATTATAATTTTTCTTTTTTAAAATTAAGGTGTGTTTTGCAGCATTTTGAACTTCAAAATACTTTGAAAATATTAGAAGCTTCCAAATAGCCCTATTCGTTTCAAACTTTGAATTGAATATGGCATTATTCGCTTCAATGATTGAAAGTTTTAAATATTTGCACAACCCTAGTACGCACGAAGATGCAGCTCGCATGAGGCAGTCACGGGCCTCAGCGAAGATGAAGCTATAGTTTGTTGCAGGTTAAGAATACCTGGACAAGCTCAGGTCCACAAAGCCCTCCACTCTTTCCACTCAATCAGAGGGAACACTGGAGAGGAGAAAACCACCAATCATGGCAAGCAGAGAGCTTTGTGGGCAGGGGCCTGTCTCACTGTTCTAAATCTTGAATAGACCATACGGCGTACAAGGTCTAGGTAGAAACAATAACGCAATAACTTTCAAATAGTCCTAGAAGGAAGATTGAGGTACACCTAAGCATTTCTTATGAGTTGTGAATGCGAAAGCATGTACATCAATCTTGCTATAGATGATTGAGCATGTTGCTTTCTAATTTATGATTAGAAAAGAGGGACAGTTAAGACAAACAGACAAGACAGGCTTTCTACTTTTGCTGTGGCGCGCTGACTGACGCTGGCGGACACGCAGCGCCATGAGGTGGCAGGTCGTTGAAACTGACGTGCAGCATCAGTTTCAACGACCGGCCACCCCATGGCGCTGCGTGTCCAGCAAATGGGTGCCTGGTCGTCGCGGGCTAGCCAATGGGATCTCAGCGATGTAAAAGGTGCCATTGGCTGTGGACACGTGCTAGCCAATGGGATCGAGGCCGTGTAAAAGAGTCGTTTGGCTCTTTCGCTCCATGAAACAATGTTTTAATGCTTTTGCATTAAAACATTGTTCTTTTCAGTAGCCTACTTGACAGTGGGAATGCGGGGCAGACTGGTCTGAGAGCTGGAGAGAAGCCGCTTCCGAACTAAGTAATCTGGCTACTGACTAACATTTTGCTATAAGATAGTAACAGGTGAGCTTGTCTAGAGCCCCCTAAAGATTCCAGAAGGTTAAGGCACTAGTCGTTGGCTGTCACAAGGCAGCTTTAAGAGGTAACCAAGGAAATGATAATGGCTTCTCGCTGACAGCAGTTTACAGAGCTTTTTACTATAGGCACACCACGCAGCCTTCAGAAAGGGGTAGTTCTAATGAGCACCTCCGACAGCTTGGGACTCTAAGATCCTTACAAAACTACACTCCAATAAACAAGACGAAGCACCCTTTCCCACTAGCATGTCTGTATCTTTTAATGAATCACTTCATCATCAACTTTGTACTTCTCAGGGCCCTTCAACTAATGAATCAATCGACTGAGGTTGCTTCCGGTAAGGACAAGGTGTCATACCATTCAAATAACGAACACCTACACCAAAGGCATGAACAAAAATAGAACCTCTCAACAACCCAGACGATGCTTGAAATTGTGATTTGAACAAAAGAGGCAGGATGGTTTATTTGCAGGTGGCTCTTTCGTGAAAAGATATGTAAATAGCGGAGCAAAGCTCAAGTGTGCTTGCAACACTGGTAGAGGCATTGGAAGAATTTGTACCGTGAAAGGTGTTGGTTCAAAAACTCAGACTCTTCCGAGGATAAGTTCCACTGTACTGGTTTCTCAGTCGACAGACACTTTTGAAGCACGCCTCACCTGTTGTGAGCCGGGTGCTGCGGCATTAACGATGCCGGCGGCCTGCTTGAGCTGCAGGTAGTTGATGAATCCGTTGCGCAGATTGTTGGACTGCTGGAGCACGTCCATGTGGTCCCGTCCGCAGGGAAGGGCCAGTAGGATGCAGTGCTCCTCCACCATCTGACGAAGGGAGACACAGCAAAGGCAAAACAGACTTTAGGCCTCGGAGAACACTGGAGATTAAAAAAAAAATAACATTTCTCGAGTCGGAACTCACACGAGTTTACAGAGAGATACAAAAACCTGGAGAACAGGGTCTTGTTTACACCGCCAGCAAACGCTTTCGTCTCCTGGAGTCAGTTTTGTCGGTGGAAGAGGAGAACGACAAAATCTCGAGCAATCTGGTGTCTAATCAACTTTTAAGGGCACCCGATAGATCTTTATGCCCTTAACACTGCAAGCTCTTGTATAGTTTGCAGTCAGATTCCTAGTAGATTAATAGTCATACTGTCCTGCAAGGCTATCGTTCAAACTCGAGCAGCAAACGAAAGACATTGTTGTTTGCAGGCCCATGAAATAAAGAATGTTTTTTTTAAGCTCGAGCGTCAGCAACACGTTTATAAACGAGCAATACAATGCAAAATCTTTCAAAAACAACAAAAAATATATTATTTTGCTTACTAGAAAATAAAAATGGATGATTGTCATGCTATACATTGACCCTAAAAAAACACCAAAGAAAAAATATTTTTTAACATCCTCTTAGGCTGTTAAAAAAAAAATATATTTTTTAATAATTTTTTTGTTTTTTTTACAAAAAAAAAATTGCTTGCAAAAATAAAAAAATATATATATATATATATATTTTAATTATTTACAGCCCTAGACTTGTTTTAGCTTATAGCTTTCAAACTAGTGCGCCATGAGTGAATTCATAGCGTCAGCACCACGTCGCCACACGTACACGCTGAGAAAAAGTTTTCTTTTTTTTTCCTTTGCAGTGTTTTTTAAGAGTGCAGCAAACGCTCGAGCCTACGGCATGAATCAAAGAGTGCCAAAGGTGCAATATGGTGGAATTCGTCATCTTGTTAAGTATGTCTGCTCTAACCAGATAAACCAATCAAGCACAGTGAATGCACCGTGACCTTGCGGTTTTCGTTTATGTGTCTGTGTTTGTGTGCTTTCCGGTCTTCGACTGTGTTCTTACTTATGGTACAGCACACTCTCATTCATTCAAACTCCAGGACGCCACAAATTTTGTTTGAATTACTGCAAGTTTGAATTATCAAAAGTTTATCTAAACATGATGGTAGATAAAATTATGAATTGCCATATGAATGGCTACACATACAAAGCAGATATTCAATGACTGCTCCTACATAGGCCTACTGATCACAAGCAGGTATGCCACACGTGAAACATCCGTGAAATGCTTGACACAAGTTCATTTATCCCTCAAAAATGCTGTTTTACTGTGTACAGTATAGACCACTTACAACGTAACCGCTTATAGTGCAGGACCGGGTATAACGCGGCTTTTTTAAACCACCGGTTCGCCTCCCATAGAACTCCATGTATTTACATACCGCTTAAAATGCAGGCGCGCGAAGGGAAATACCGGTTATAGTACGGTTTCTGGAAGAGCCCGGCGGCCGTGCCGACTGACCGGCGCAGCGAGCACGCTTCCCTTTGCGGCGCTAGATAACGGCGCGAGCCGCGAGCGGCACTCGCGGGGCAAGGAGGTTGCTCGAAGAAACCGGGAGATGCGAAGAGAGAGGCTGCAGTTGCCATAGCGACGGAGGGACGCATGCACGTGTCGTTCTCGTGCGTGCGTCCCTCCACTGCGATGGTTGGAAACAACCGCAACGACAGACCAATCGCAGGTCGAGGAGAAGTGTTCGCGCGCGTTGCATGCCGGCAGTGCGTACACACTATTGACTCTCTCCTTTCCCCCCCAACCTCTATTACAACGCTTCTCCTCCTCTCCGGTCGCGGGCCGGCTGCGTCTATCCGCAAACATGGCGTTGGTTTTGATCGTCGACGTAGATTGCGTGATGGAGGCTCATCGTTACGCGTAAAAGCGCTACCCTTGACTGTGAATTTTCGTTGTGTGTCGTTATGATAACCCAGCACGTACTAGAAGGGAAGATCCAAGGGAAGATCCACCTACTCGTGCGGCGATGTCGTGGCGGCACTCTCAAGACGGCAGAAACGCCCGTGTTGTTGTGTTTGTTTACTTCGACTAGAGTGGTGCTTTCTGTGTTTTCGAACATCGCCCGGATTTCTTATTTGGAGCATTTCATGCCTGTGCTCAAGTTGAAGGTATTACTGGCGCGTACCGTATAAAGGATGCGAATTTTCACGCGTTTTCATCGCCGGAGAAAAGTGATTAGGGTTAGCAATCCTGAACGCTCGCAACGTCCGTCCGCAACCCGCGACGCTGTTAAAAGGCTGCGCCAGGCAAAAGTCACTCATTTCTTTCAAAATGTGTGACACACTTGAGACAGAACTGTTCTAGTCTGGTGAAATAAAGACTTTCCTCAAACTAAGCTTTATTTTTCACCTAACATAAAGTAAATTCTTTTACAAAGGTAAGTAGTCTCATGGCATGTATTTTGGCCTGAAAAATTGATGTTTTGGTTATAACGCGGTACCGCTTATAGTGCGGATTTTTGCAACTCCCGCGACATACGTTATATGCGGTCTACACTGTAGACAGCACATAACAACTCAAAACAAAATGAGTTTGTTCATCGGGCCAAGAAGTTGTCTAATGTGAACTATTAAGCAGGTGACACATGGGCGATGACAAATGGCACTATGCGGCAGTTTTCATAGCAACTTGCGCAGACGCTGTGACATGGACTTATGCCGTGCCGCCACGTCACAGCATCCGCGCAAGTTGTTATGCAAATCTGCGCCCGCTTGAGCCCCGTCGAGTGCGCTTCTCACCAAGCACCAGTGCACCGTGGAAAAGCAACACCCAGGAGAGGTGGCCTCTCTGCAGTGGACAGGTGCTCGTTAGGAAGCGCACTAAACGGGGCCGTGAGGAAAAAAAGTATGAATTACACGAAAATGCCGTTCGAATTAAGCGGCCTATGAATGCATTAGAAATATAACGGACAACCAACATTTTGAAATTTTTTCGAATAATTTTACAAGTATGAAATATCCGAGTATGAATTATTGCGAGCCTACTGTAAAACAAAAGATAGCAAGATGAGGCCGTCAGGTCTGTTGAGCTTCCCACTTCAAAGCAAGAAAGAGCTCCGAAGCGAGAGCCCTCCCCGGTTATAGAGGGAGGTGCACGCACCTGCATTTTCCTGGCCACTCCTTCAAGCTGCGTCTGCTCCAGGCGCATCCTCTGGGCAATGCGGACGGGCGGCGTGCAGCCGTCCGTCATGGGAGGCAGGGACGCGACCGCTATCCGCGAGTTGCCCGACACAAAGTGCATCTGTACCGCAGCCTGATCGTTCTTCAGGGCCAACAGCCCCTGCCACATCACGGGGTACCTCTGCAAACAGACAAGAACAGAGGGGCATCTGTCAAACTCCAGTCCGGCACTTGGCAAACGCACGCTCTGCTACTCAAGCTTTGCTACTTCTCCGTGAGCCTCCTCAAATGCCCATGCCATCGCTGTTGCTCGGCAGGACGGTCAAACCTCTCTGTCCCGATTGGTCTTCCGACGTCTCCCGACGGTGCCTTCGACATACAAGCGATCTCAGAAACGAGATTGGGCCGGGAGTGTCGGAGGCTGGGTTCAAAGCCCCGCACATTGCAAAAGGAATCTTTGCAATCCCCCTGGAAACCACGAGAGCACCGAGTGAGCAGGACGGGCTCACCTGTAGCAAAAAGGAGTCGCCCTGCGGGGGCACCTGGGTGGCGTGAGGCGGCGTCTGCGGCTGGGTGCGGGGCACGGCCGGCCCGGGCTGGGACAGGGTGTGCGCGGGGGGCGGCCCGTGATGAAGGGGGGCCTCCAGCCCCGTCTGGCGCTTCTTGAGGGCCTCTGACTCGGGGGGTGCCACCAGCTCCTTGGTGAGCCCCACGGGGGAGTGCAGGAAAGGGGCCGGGGGGGATGCCCCCAGGGGCTCCAAGGCCCCCCCGTGGTACAGGTGCTGGTGGGCCGCGGGGGGCTTGGGCTCCTCCTTCTTGTCCTGCAGGTGGGGCGGCCGCAGCGAGTACGGGCTGGCCACCGCGGGGGAGTCCGTGACCCGCTCCTGGGGCGAGGAGGCCACGCGGGGGCTCAGCTGGCGCAGGGGGAAGGGCCCCACAGGGGGACGCAGCAGGGGGTCCTTGGGGGCCTCGTCCCGCTTGGGCCCCTCCTTGGGCTCCTCCTTGGCCTCGTGTTTGCCCCCCTCGCGAGGCTCGGGTGGCGGCCGGAAGCCCCCCGGGTAGGCCAGGCGCAGGCCCTGGGGCAGCTCGGGGTGCAGGGCGTAGTGGGGGTGGGTGGCGGCGTACAGCATCTGCTGGTGTACGTAGGCTGACAGCTCCGAAGGGTGCATGCCCAGCGGGCCCGGCACCAGCAGGGGCTGGCCAGGAGGGCTGCGCAGGTGCAGCAGGTCCTGGGGAGGGGTCGGGGTGTGCGGGGGCGTCGGGGTGCCCACGTGCACCCCCGGCCGCCCCACCCCGATGTACTGGGAGGCTGCCATCGCCAGGTAGTTCTTCTGCTGCTGCAGCAGGTGCGGGTTCTGGAGCAGCTCCGCAATGACCCCGCCCGGGGCCGCACCCACCCCCTGGGAAGCCCCCGTCGGAGTGTGGGAGCTGCCCGGCTGTGGGGAACGAGGAAATGTCAGGAATGTCCATCCCCTATCTCCGTCACACACCCGTATGTCCATCATATCTGAACTCAGAAGACCAGGTTTCTTGCCATATAAGCGTTTGAAAGACATGCGCACTGCCTTTCCCATTTTGTGAGTGACTATAGTGACATTGACACAAGTGGCATAGCCAGGAATATTTTTATAGGGGGGGGGGGGGGGGGGGGGGGGGGCTGAAGTGGCAAGATGTACATGACTTGGGGTGTGGAAAAGGGGAGGGGGGTCGATCACCTTAGACGAAAATGGGTACTATCCAAGTTTCAAAGAGCATGTTCAAAGGGCTCGAACAGAGTCAATGAGAGTCACCTGCTTTGACGTGGAAGCGACCATCTAACCTAAGGCATAACCTAAACAAACACCACAAGAGGAATTATGGTGGCCAGCAACAACAGTAATCCGCTAAATTTAGTGATATTTAGAAGAAAGAAACTTTTTAGACAGTTGTGGTGTTAGACTTGCATTCAGGGATGGTGCGTTGAAATAGAATGGCTCAGCACTTCCACGCCTGAAAGCACCTAAAAAACGAACTGATATTACAGAGCTTTTTACAGCAATGTAAGTGGGATTTTTATGGTTCTGGCATTTGTCTTTGGATTAATAAACGTTTCATTCATTTCCACTCCTTTTTCATAGGTTCAGTAACGAGTCTTAAGGTCTTAAGATAACAAGTCCTAATATAGGAAAAATTACAGCCCGGTTCAACAGGTTTACCGTAAAGGTTTTCTACCGTACAGATCACAGCATACAGTTTTGCGATAATGAAACTGCTTAACTCGAAACCCTGTCCGAGTTAAGCAGCCGTCAAAGTGGGCAACCTTGAGAGAGCCATGCGAGGCAATCACTGCCTGCCAATGGAAGACAAGAAAGGGTCCTTACCATGCCGGCAGCCTCGTAGCTGCCAAAGGGAGGCTGGAGGAAGCCCTGCTTGGAGGGGTGCTGAAGGGCGGCCCCCTTGGGGCCTGGCCCCCTCTGCTCGTGCATCTTCCCCGGCGCCTGGGCCATGGTGGAAGCGCCCTGGGGGTGGCCCAGCTGGGGCCGCGCCGAGGCTGGGGATGTCCGCGACACCCCCTGGGGCGGCAAGGCAAAGGCCTCGGCCACCTTGGCGTGCGACATGGCTGCTGCCGCGTGCTGCTGTTGGAGGTGCGAGGCCACCGACACCGGCACCCCTTTGTGGTCGGCCCCCGGGTGGTGCACGGAGTGCACCGGCGAAGGCTGCTGGGGGTGCTGGTGCGGGTGGTGCTGCTGCTGCTGATGCTGGTGCTGCAGCTGCTGTTGGTGGTGCTGCTGATGTTGCTGATGCTGCAACTGCTGCTGCTGCTGATGGTGCTGCAGCTGCTGCTGGAGTTGTTGCTGATGCTGCTGGTGTTGCTGATGTTGCTGCTGCTGGTGTTGTTGCTGCTGCTGGTGTTGTTGCTGCTGCTGCTGCTGATGTTGCTGCTGATGTTGTTGCTGCTGATGCTGCTGATGTTGCTGGTGAGACTGCTGGTGCTGCTGCAGATGTTGTTGCTGCTGGTGTTGGAGCGGCAATGCAGGAACCTGCGCCGGAAAGAGGAACGACATGTAGTGCAATCTCACGACGACCGGCAGGGCCGACGACACCCGAGAGAAACAATAAACTCACCTCCATCTTGCCCTGCCCGCAGAGCATCTGAGGAGGCATCCCCATCACCATGCCGGGTGGATGACCGGCAGTTCCCGCCAGCTTAGGGCCCTCTGGTTGAGGAAGCGCCTGCGGCTGCGGCAGTGCGGTGCTCCTCACCACAGAAGGGTGCGCCACTCCTGAGGAACAAGAGATCGGCCTGGGCATGTGTTGGGGCTGCTGCCCCGCCAGGGTGGTGAAGGGCAGCGGGTACTGGGGTCCCAGGGGCCTTGCCCCAACCCAGGCCCCCATGGACTGCCCGAGAGACACGGGCGGTTGTCCCAAGGACACGGGAGGCTGCCCCACAGGAGCCAGGACCCCCTTGGGACCTCCAAACTGCTGTGGAATCGACGGGCTTGCGGGCGGCGGCACGTTTGTGGGCATGGGGTGTTCTGCCGGCTTGACCGCACCGCCGTTGAGGCCTTGGGGCACGACGTTCAATTCGGGCACCTTGACAACGGAGCTTTCTGTCTTGACATTAACCGAAACCACCTTGTGCGTCTCGGGCTGGGAGTTGACTATGAGCCTGTGGTGACCGGTAGCTCCTTGTAATACCGTATGGTTCTTAGGGTTTCCAGCGTGCGCCAGCACGGGCGGCCGCTGGATTTGTTCTGGTACCGGCTTCGCTTCCGGCTGTTCTGCCTCTGGGACTTTCGTGGCGACGGCTGCCGCCGGCATCGCTGCTGGGGTCCACGTGGGGACGGCCGCCTCCTTGGCGTTTGGAACGACGACGGCTGGGTTTTCTGCTGGCTCTACGGGGACCTGCGGTTTGGTGGGTTTCGGAGCAGCCGCCGCCGCTTCTCCTTCGGGGAGCGCAGTGGGTTCTCCTTTCTTGTTCACGGGTGTGAGAAAACCAGTGACCGGATCGATCAGCTCGGTGGGGCTCAGCCGGGAGTCGCTGTCGTCCTCGCAGGTAGCTTTCTGCTCTTCCTTCGCCCTGGTTTTGAAGAGCTCCACCTTGAGCACTGGCACGGTGGCCGAAGCGGCTGGAGTCGACTGAGCAGCCGGCGTGCTGGCCTCCTGCAGCAGTGGTCCAATGAAGCCCTCCTCCTTGGCGGCCTCCTGTCCAATCTCTTCTCTGATCCCGCCCTCCTTCGGCTGCTCGGCCTTGGCGGACGACCGCGTGAAACGGAAAGATCGCAGGGACATCTTGGACTCGGACTTGTTGTTCTGCTCCGCGTCTGAGCACTGGCTCTCGGGGGCTGCAGTGGTGACTGTGGCGGCGGGCTTGGCTTCTTCGGGGCTCTCCTTCACCTTGTTGTCGGCTATCACCAACACAGGGGCCTCGGGTTTGTTCTTGTCGGCCTCGTCTCCCTTGGAGTCTTCATTGCGGCGACTTGACCTGGTCCTGCGAGCTGCCCGGGTGATTGGCCCCTCCGGCTGCTGGTCGCTTTCATCTTCGCTGGGCCGGAAGTTACCTTCAACAGAAGAGGGCACAGAGCGAATGAAAGAAACATTCCCAGGGCTGTTCCAACTTCTAGAAAATTTTACAGCGAAGCTGTTTATGGCTAGGGTTTCATTATTTTTCGTGTGCGATGACTAAAAACTTTATGCTCGCACCGCTGCACACGCACGCCTTCCCCGTATAAAAGATTTGAAGTAAATAACCAAAACAAAGTGCTGACAGACGCACATGCAAGGTGCCATTTGTTTTAGGCTTTTACTTTAGAGCCGTTACTGCTGCAGATGCCAGCACGTGCAGCCCGTGGAAAACCATTCCCTGCGTTCTCCTTGATGCTTGGGTAATTTAGCAATAGGTCCATTCAGTAGACTAGTTATCAATAGGCACCATTTTCAAGATCAGTAGACTCTCGGTAGATAATAAAGGTTTCTCAAAGATTTGCTGCTGTGCGATCCGTGTCGGCTGTGTCGGCCATGTCTACACTCGCACTGCCCTCTTTGTCGTCATTCCAAGCCGCTTGCGTGCCTAGCTTCCTTTCCTTCTGCTCTCCTGGGGTGGCGGTCCCGTCGCGCGTGTCTAGTTTCCTCCGGCTCCTCGGGGCGGGTCCGTGTCGTGTGCTAAACAGCTTCGCTGGTCATCAACCATCACGGAGTGGAATGGCTCATAATTTTCTTATATTGTTCGAGAACTCAACATTACACTACTACACACTTCCTGGAGCAGCAAAGGTTTGTGAAAGCTCTCATCCCTTAGAGGCGGGTTTGGAAGCACTACACGCCTTTAAAAATATGCCTCGTGCTCAAGTTTTCATACGATAAAAGGCAGTGCAGGGAGCGTTATGAGGCTTGTCTGGCTAAGGTCGGAATTCGAAGGCCCCAATAAATCGAGCCAAAGGGGTCGGAACCCAAGCAAGATATTGCAATCGTAATATAGAGTTTAAGACAACTTGGTTCGGGTCTGTCTACGTTTTTCAACACCTGTCCTAGTGCAACCTGTGGAAACCTTAACCTGGACACAGTCCAAGTAGCTTTCCACAAATGGACCCCAATTTTACTACATTTTTAAATCAGACTAACTTTCTACAGGGGTCTTTGCCAAACCCCAGCCTGATTAAGTTTAATAATTGGGACCAAATCTGGCCCGACAATTTTAGCAACATCCCGACCCATCCTTTTTTTTTTTTTCACATAGTCTCAGACTCAAGCTATTCCGACATAAGCCTCATCTAAATACAAGGATCTCGGCCCTAGTTGTGCCCACGAAGTGTTAGGCTTCTCAGCGCCTGCTACTTCACTGCTCTTCCTGAACTTGGTATGAAACAGACATTAGCTTTGCATGATTTACCAGCACCGGAGCAGAAAAGTGTAAGGCGTACTTCCGGTTGTATCTGAATGCACATGCCGGAAGTACACTAGCCCTGCACTTTCCCACACCGGTGCAGGGGGTGCAGGTAAATCAAACGAAGCTTTTGTTGCAGGACTCCACAGCATGCCAACGTGCCGAGGAGGAGGATCCCCCAAGTACAAACCCGTTCGCTCAAACAGAAACACAAAGGGAGCGAGAACCAGCTCCTCACCCTTGACAACGTCCTCGATGACCTCGTCTATGGTGGTTTTGTTGGCCTGGGACATGAGTCTCGCAGACTTGCGCGTCTTCATCTGGTGGGCGTCGGATGCCTCCTGCTTGGCGGGCGGCGCCTGCCGCCCGTGCTCCGCCTTGAGCTCCTCCCCCGCCACGGCCTCCGAGGTCTTGACCACCTCGGCCGTGCTGGACGAGCTGCCGTCGTGCCCGTCCTTCTGGTGCAACCGGATCGTGATGGAGATCTTGCCGTGCTGGCTCAGCTCCGTCACGTACTCCCGCGTTGGGGCCGCCTCCTCGTGGGCCTTGTGGCCCTTCGCCTCCTCGTGCCGCTTCTCATGCTCGTGCGGCTTGGCGGCCGGCGGCAACTCGAGCGGCGGCTCTTGGGGCCTGGGGGGGACCGCCTCGGGGGGCGGCTTGTCGGGCTGCTTCTCCGGCGCCGTCTGCCAGTCAGTGCCTCCGAAGGGTGCCTCCTCCTCGTCCTCGGAGTCCTTAAACTCGTACACGTCGTAAGCGCTGCTACTGCCGTTGCCCTTGGGTGCCTTGTGCTCTGCCGGCGGGGCCTGGCGCCCGCAGACGAAGAGCGGCCGGATCTCCTTCTGCTTCTCGGCCTCCTTGTGGTCGGGCTCCTCGGGCTTGGTGGCCTCCAACGGCTTCTCGGCTGGGGGAGGTGGCGAGAAGGCGTGGTGCTCACCCGAGCTCTTCTTCTTCCGCCCCCGCCGCTTCCTCGGCTCGTCCTTGTGAGCATCAGCATCGCCGGGTCTTTCTTCGAGTGGTGGCGCGTCGCCCGACACGTCTGCAACCTCCGCACTGTCCTTGGAGGTGCCGTCCAACGAGAGACGTTCCTCCTCCCGAGGCTGTACCTCCTTGCTGACGGGGCAAGCCTCAGCTTCGAGAGTGGGAGCGTCGCTCTTGGTCTCGTTGGACAAGAACGCGGCCGCATCCTCGTTCTCGGACGACGCGTTTTCGTGGTTGTCGGACCTCAAAGACCGGCGCACCTTGTCCGCTGACGTGGCCCTGCCTCTCCTGGCGGGGACCTTGGGGGCCTCGCCGACTTCGAGGCGCGGTGCGGAGGCCCTACGCACTTTGGTCTTGCGGCCTTTCCGGGTGCCGGGCTTGCGCCTCGCCCCCTCCGACTCGGCCGTGGAGGGTTCCGGGTGGGGAGGGGCGGCCTCGTCTTCGGCACAGGGCGGGTTCTCCCGCTGCTCCCCGGAAGAGTCGTTCTCCTGGTGCGTCGAGTCGTCCGCATCTCCTTCCCGGTGGTCGCCCGTTCCCACCGGTGAGCTGAGCGTCTCAATGATCTCGAGGATCGGGGTGCTGTGCGACATGTCGTCGAACATGTCTTGGTCCTTGCTGCTGTCATTTTCCATGGGAATGTCCGCTGGAACGGCCTCCTGAGTGCTCTCGTCGGGCTTCTCTTTCTTGTCCGGCTCTGACTCCCGCTTGTCCATGGGTGCCGTCCGGACATCGGTCGTTGCGTCTTCCTTGGAAGCGGCATCGCAAGCCTCCTCCTGTCTGATGTGCGGAGGAGACAACGGCTCAACGCTCTTCTCGTCCTGTGTCAGCGGTTCTTCGGCTGAGCTGTCGAGGGGAGCGCGGGCAGGCGATCCGACCTTGGGCTCCGTTTCTTCACTGGCTTCAGGGATCGTGAGAGCTGTGCATGGGCTGGTTTCATTCCTGGGTTCCTCTTTGGTCGAGAGATAGGACTGCACGTACAGAGGCTCAAAAGGCTCCTCGAGGCCTTTGTCCGCAATTTCCAGACGGTGCTCCTCGTCGGTGTCCGACAGTAACCGCTGGTCCATGTCCTCCGACCTCCTCCTCCTCCTCTTTTTCAATTTGTGTCTTTCCAACTTAGTGGTTGCAGCAGGCGGCTCAGACTCTTCCGCAGAAGTGGTCTGCACTTCCGGCTGAACGACGTCGCGCGTGAGATCTGGGAGCTCTTTTGGGGGCTCTGCACTTGCCTCAATGTCTTTGGCTTCTTGGAGCAGGGGCGGCTCCGACGGGACTTCCTTTGTGCACTCTTCCGCCTCGCTCTCGGGTCGCGTCGGCGAACCAGCAGGCTCCTCTCCTGGCTTGTCAGCCAGCCGTGACAGCTGCTGCGGCGGCTGCTGCAGAGAGTGGAGAGCGTCGGTGAACTCGAGAGCGCCACCGGACTCCCGGCTCTCCTCCTGGGTCAGGTCAGGCATTGAGGTGTCGATCTGCAGTGAGCTGGAGCTCTCATCCGGCAGCAGGAAGCTCATGGACTCCTCCTGTTGCGGGTGGTGCTGCATCATGGGCTCGAGGTAGTCCGGCTCCTTGGGCAGCTCGGGGGCCGAGATGCCGTCGTTGCCCATCTCCTGGAGCAGAGCGTACACGGCCAGGTCGTCCTCCATCTTTCGCGGGCTGTCCAGCTCGTACGAGCCCTGCTCCTTCTCGTCCATCTTGAAGTGCTCCGCCTCCTCGTGGCCAAGGTAGCGCGGAGAGCCCGAGTGGTTGGACGGCAGCTCCTGGGTTGCGGCGAGGCCCGTGTAGACGTCTTCCTTGGCAGAGGACGTGCCGAGGACGTCCTCCAGGACCTTGGCCTCCTTGGCGTGCGCGTCATAGACCTTCTCGTCCTTCATGTGCCACGAGTCCCTACCCGAGGAGAAGAGCTCCTCTTCGAGCCGCTTGGTCTCCTTGGCTGCCTCCTCTTCGAAGTGCCTCTCCACCTGGTGGGGCTTCTCCTCCCTCCGAGGAACGGCGTCCCCGTCTCCAAACGTGCTCGTCTCTTCCGACTGCGCAAGCAGCTCCTCTTCCAGCCGCCTCGCCTCTTCGACAATGTCTTCGTCAAGTCGAATGTCCTCCGTCAGCTTGCTGTCCTCATCCAGAACTGCAGGGGCCGCGTAAGGGGGCGCGGGCTCCTCCCGGGGCTCCCTTGGAGGGCTGCAAGGCGGTGGCTCTTCTTTATGCCTCTTCTTCTTCTCCTTCTTTTTCTTCCTGTGCTCTTTGCTCTTGGCCTCCTCGAGCCGTGAGTCCTTGTTGTCTTCGTCTTCGCTCACATTTCTCGCGGCTGGTATGTCACAGGTTATGTCATCGTACGGAACGCGCTCCATGCTGTAGGCAGTGCTCTTCTTGTCCGTCGAAGGGAAGTCTTTGCCGGCAGGGTGGGTTTCTGCACTCTCGTTCAGGGCGTTGACGATCTTGTCAAGCTCATGGTCACTCTCCCTTTTCACAATGGCTTCCGCCTCGTCGTACTCCCGCTTGATCTCTCTCGCGGGAGAGTACCTCGCATCCACGGCCAGTTTGTTCTTGGTGCAACTCCAGCTCTCCATATCTTTGTCCCTGGACTTGACGGAGGGCTCAAAGTCGTAATCGGACAGCTCAGACTTAATCTCTGCGTCCGACATGATGCTGGGCTGCAGCACGGGCGGCGAGCCGAGCAAGTGCTTTGGGGAACCGATATACTTGGACGACACGGAAGACTCGTCCAGCAGTGCCCCCGCGTCCCATGGATGGTCCGCCCTTTTCTGAGAGGTGGAGGTTTGGGACGTGTTGGATGGCTTGTCGCCCGACTTCTTCTCCTTCACCTTCGAGGACTTTTTGGATTTTTTGCGCTTCTTGCTCGAGTGCCTCTGCCTCGACTCTCCTTCTTCGTCCGGCCTGGGCTCGTCAGTGTCCCTGCTGGGCCTCTTGCTTTTGCTGCTGCTGTGAGTAGATGGCTCCTTGGGATGGCATTCCTCGTGTTTCCCATCTTCCAGCCTCGATGACGGCTTCGGTTTGCTAGACTTGCAGTCATCGAGCTTAGGGTGGCAGTCGTCGTCAGAGGCGTCCAAGTCAGATCGCAGGACGCTGACCTTGCGTGGCCTCTTCTTCTTGTGTTCTTTCCGCTTCGAAGACCGGCTCACGTCTGCGTCTGAGCTCTCCCCTTCGGATTTACCGTGCCGCGAACGCGACGACTTTTCTGAGGAGTGCCTCTGCTTGCTGCGGTGCTTCTGGGAGGGTGTGAGGAGGTGCGAGGGCTCGTCGGAGTCCGAGGTCTCGATGTCTGAGAGGTCAACCTTCCTTTCCTTGCATTTGTAGGACTCCTTGAGCGACTCGGCGTCCGAGTCGGTGCAGAAGTCGCTGCTCTCAACCCGCTTGTGCAGCAGGCGCATTGCGAAGGACTGTTCGTTTTCGTCAGAGGAGCTCTCAATGACCAGCTTCCTCTTCTTGTTGAGCTGCTTGGACCTGTGAGACGAGACCCTGGACTTGGTCTCGGAGTCGGAAGAGTGGTGACTAGAAAGATCCGAATCCCTGTCCGAGTCCTGATCCGCAGACTTCCCCTTCTTGGCGCGACTCTGCTTGAGCCGGCTGAACTTCTGCCGCATCGTCTCCATGTTGGCCTGGTCTTTGAGGGTCTGGTTCTGGCTGGAGCGAGCCTTCACCTTGTCGTACATGGAGAAGTAGACGGGTTCGTCATCCAGGAAGCAGAAATCGGACGCCTGAGGGGCTGAGGAGGCGCTACCGTCGCCTTTGCTCTTTGACTTGGACTTGGAGTCTCTGCAATGCTCTCCCGAACTCCGCTTCTCCGACCGACACTTCTCCTTGTCCGATCGGTCGGAGCTGTGCTCCTTCCGCGGCTTCCCGCTGCCGCTGCTGCTGCTGCCACCACTCGACGAGCAGGTCAGAGACTCGTGTTTAGAATCTTGCCTATTGTCCTTGTTCGACTCCTTGGGCCGGTCCCGCGACTTCTCTCGACTGTCCCGCGACTTGGCCTTCTTCTCGTCCTTGCCCTTGCAGCTCTTGGACTCCATCGACGCCAACCTGGGGTCGTCCCTCTCTCCGGACTCGCTCTTCGAGAGGGATGAGTGGGACTTTTCCGTCCTCTCCGACTTGGAAGACGACGACTTCTCCAGCTTTTTCTCAGACTTCTTGGAAGACGAGTTGGACTTGCTCGAGCTGTGGCTCTTGCCGAAGCCATCTCGGCTCGAGTGGTGCGACGACAGCTTGGGGCGCTTGGCCTCGGGCTCCGTGGAGTGTCCGCCTTCCTCGCTCCGGTGCCAGCCGGCCTCCGCCGGGAGGTCGAGGTAGGCGTCGCTCGACCGGGACGACTTGGCCGAATCGGACTCATTGCTGTCGACGGACGACACCCGCCGCTTGACCGCTCCAAGGGTCGCCGGAGCGGGGAGCTCCGCCGAGTCATCCCTCTTGTCTTTGACGGGCAGGGAGTTGCACAGAGGCTCCGTGGGGATGATGGGCTCCTTGCAGGAGTTCCTGCTCGAGGCCTGGTGCTCCTTCCTGCTCTCCTTCTTGAAGCTTTGAGGCTCTCGCTTGAGGGGTATGTCCTTCGGAGGAACCAACTCCATCTTCTCCTTCGTCCTAGACTCCTTCCGATTGTGGGGGATCTCCGTTATGGGTTCCTTCTTTACCACCACAACCGCCGGTGCCGTGGGCGTCGCGGCGTGCGGCGTGTGGGGCGGACTCTGGAACACTTGGTGTTTCACGGGCGGCGGCGAGGGCTCCCTTCGCACTGAGCACGTCCTGGGAGACGCCTCATTGTGAGGTTGTGCGGCCACACTCGCCACGGGCGGGTGCTGCTTGCCGTGCAGTTCGAGTACCGTAGGCGTCGTAGGCGTGGTGGGTGTCACGGGAGACTGTGGCACCACACACTGCAGGGAAGGGCTGGGCGCCGTCTGGCCGGGGGAGGCACTTGGGGCGCTGCTCGCCTGGGACAGGCTGGGACTAGAGGCGCCCTGAGGCACCGCGGGCGTCGCGGAAAAGCCCACGCTGGCGAGCGGAGTGGAGAACTCTTTGGCAGCCGCCTTGGTGCGGAACAGGGGCTTGGCACTCCCCGACGAGAGGTCCAGCTTGACGTCCCTCGGCTCGTACTTCTCGTGGATGTGCTCCAGCCGCTTGGAGTCCTGGTCCAAGATGGTGGTCTTGGCCAGCAGGGTCTTCATGATCTCCGAGGGCTCTGACCGGAACTCCTGGGACAGCACGGGAAACCGGGGCCGTTTCTTGATGTTGTACTTCTGGTAGTCGATGACGGCCACGGGCGGCGCCGGCGCCTCGGCTGTTACGGCGACGGTCGCCGCGAAGGTCCGCGTGGGCCCCGTGAGGGCGTTGTACTTCTCGTCTAGCGCCCGGATCTGCTCGTCGAAGGACGGACGGTTCGGAGAAGACAGCGAGCACTCAGAGTCCGAGGAGCTCTCCGGCGGCTCCCGCTTGATCTCGGGCCCCTTGGCGGGCGCTTTGGGGGACGGGCTCGGTGAGAGGGCCTCGGGTACAGTCTCCAGGGGGTCGGGGGCCTTCTCCTCTGCCGCGGGCTCCGGCTGGTGCTGGGCGGGCCGCGCGGAGGCCTCCAGGAACGAACCTCCGCTCCGCGCGTTGGTCAAGGCACTCAGGGGCGAGCAGTTCTCCCGTGGACTCTGCGAGTTGGCCTTGGGAGAGGCCGCCACGGGGGGGGACGTCTTGGGGGAGCGCAGGGCTGCCGCAAACTTGGGCAGCGGCAGGGACAGGGGGCTGGGGTCCCGGCGGGGCCTCGGGGGCCGCGTCTGCTGGGGGTTGTCACTGGAGGAGGACACCTCGTCGATGCACTCTTCGCCGTGCTTGACGTGGAAGTGCAGCAGCGAGGGCGCCTCCCCAACCTCGCTGTCGGTCGAGGACACCAGGCCCGGGTCGCACGGCTTGCCCCGGGCGTCCCCCACGCACATCAGTTCGAACTTGTCTGAGTGCACCTTCTTTACCCGCAGCAGCACTGTCGAGGACACCTTGTTGTGGTCAAGCTGCCTCCTTGGGTCCAGCTGCCTCCGCAGGCAGGGGACGGGCTCGGGCTTTGCCTGCTCACCGGAGTACTTGGCCTCGAGGCCCGTGCGGCAGTTGCCCGGCGGCCTCTTGGAGACCACACTCGGGATGTCCTTGGCCTGCCGTGCCTTGCCAGAGGCCGGGCTGGCCTCGGGCGCCTTGTTCTTCTTGCGGGACGAAGCGTCCGGGGAACATTCTCCGTCGCTCGAGCTCAGGATGTCCTGCACCTGCTTCGAGGGGTACTTGACGTCCCCACGCACGCCCTCCTCCTCGCCGTCGGCGCAGTCCGTGTCCGTGTCTTCGGGCCGCGCGCCGTCCTTGAGCCCCAGCAGCCGCCGCTTCCGCTCCAGCTGCGATGGGGACTCGCTGGTGGAGTTGACGTCTTCCTCCCGGCGGGGGGGTAGCCGGGGACCGCCCCGATCCTGGAAGGCCTCCAACTTGCTGCAGACCGAGGCGAGGGGTGGGGCCTCCTTTGGGCCATCCAGGGAACGCCTCCGCAGCAGGCCCGCCTCCAGGGCCATCTCCTCGGGGTCGACCGGCGCGTCTCGCATCGAAGGACTGCCCACGCGGGAGGAGGTGCGGTTGGGGCTGGGCCGGTGGTGCTGCGAGGAGGGTGGGCGCTCCTTGGAAGAGCCCTTCTTGGAGCCCTTGAGCAGCGGGGGTGGCGGTGACCGGCTGTGGTGCCGCGACTGGGGCGGGGACTGGCTGTGGTGGCTCTCCTGGTCGCTGGTCGAGTTGCGGTGCTTTTTGAGGGAGCCCTTGCGGGACGATGCCCACTCCGGGGGCACCACCAGGACCCCGTCAAGGTGCTTGAGGCGCTCCGGCCGATCTTCGTACAGGACCACGTCGTCCAGCACGTCGTCCTTCTCGGGGAACCTGCGACCCCGTGGAGACCACACCCAACTTCAACGCCACGCACGGAAGACTGCGGACGCTAGAATGCCACGAAGAACTCCCTCACCTATTGGAGCAATCTCGACAATTAGGTCTGCATCTACCATTCGATCGATGATCACGATATGAATCTGCCTCTGAGACACACAGACAACGGCCAAATGAAGCTGGTGAAACATCCTTTGGATTATCTCATGTTAACTGTTGAAACTGAGAGCTCTGTGAACTACCCACCAATGCAATACATAGTCTTTTAGTGCAAAAATTAATTATTTAATTCCAAGCGCTCACATTGGCAGTGCAGCACCATCAAAAAGTACCCTTTTGAACACTCCATGTTGGCACGAAAGGTTTCTTACAGTTTGGTTTTTGCACCATTTTGAGGTGGGTTTCTTTAGATACTACTCGTACCACAAAAATAGGGTTGTGTGCGCGCTATGTGTTACGGTGAACTTTACCATACAGGGGACATCCCAGGGAGATCAAAGAGTGTGCAGAAAGGTGTAAATGGCAGAGGTTCATTTTCAAGTCCCTCCTGCCAAGTCCCAACGCATCTGCTCTGCTTCACCTACTAGGCTTTATAATCTTGAACTGGAGACGGTAGCATTAGTGAAACCCGTATGTAAAAAAGCGCGCATTAAAAAAAAAAAGAAATTGCAGAAAATTGCGGAATGTTGAGGGAGATTTGCCCTCAGCCAGTGTGCCGTATAATGTTTGGAATGGGTTCATTGCTTTCAGTGGGATTGATGTGGAAGACGTTTGTGCAAAAATGTGTGCTTTGGAGGAACGATTATGCGAGATGTTGCGCATCGTTGAACGACACAGAGTCATGCTTTTCTTTTTTTGGCCGAAACGCTCTTTCAGAACGGGGGTGCCTGTGACTGGGAGCGAGAGCATCACTGGAGAGTATGTGGATGTAGAAGGAAAGATGGAGAGGTGAAGAGCGCTCTCCCCGTGATTACGTCGATTTCTCAGAACAGCGGCAACCTACAGGGGGGGAAGGGGAGAAGAGGGAGCAAGAGAGAGCTTTCCTGTAGTTGGCACGTATGTGTGAGGAATAGCGAGAGGGAGGGCAGTGCCTCTGCTGTTGAGTGGGGTTTTGCATTTGTACACAGGCATTTTTTTAACGGGAAGTGGCGCTAACTGCTACCGCTGTGAAACCTGAACAATTCATACTTCTTACATGGTAGTTCTACTAGTACAGACAAACCCACCTGTATCCAACACCTTTCTGTTGTTTTTGTATAATCAAATATTACCAAGAGTGTGTTGCAAGTGGACTGACAGATGTTTTCCGGCAGATTCTAATTAATAATTTGTCGAAACAGCAGAGAAGCATGGAAGTTATTGGCAAATTACACGTTTCTTCCCTCCCCTCCCGTCCCCTCCCCTACCTCTCATTCTTTACATCTCAATACTACAGTAGGCTTGCGATAATTCAAACTCTGATATTTCATACTTCTGGTTAACTCAAACAAATTAATGAATTTTGGTTGTCCCACTATGTTTTCAATTTATTTATAAGATGCTAAATTCTAACTGTGTTTTCGTGTAACTCGTACTTCTTCTCGCGACCCTGTTGAATGTGCTTTATAGCAAGCACTGATGCACACCGGAGAAGCGACACCCACGGAGCTTGCTTTTGCGGTTGCTGCTTCTCCGCAGTGCACCGGTGCTCGGTAAGAAGCACGCCCAACGGGGCCAATAGTCCGCATTACGCTCCGTTCACCCATAGCCTGAGACTGCACTCACATACAGCACTCACACTAGAAAGGCACGTCTCAAAGCCAGAAGCGAGGGCTAGCTTGCACTTGTAGCTTTGGCTGTAGACTCAGCTTAAGGGTGAACAGAGTATAAACAACTTGTTTGCTTGATGAACAAATTCAATTTTGTTTCGAGGTGTCATGCACTGTCTATCCATAATAGACAACACTTTTGAGGGATAAATAAACTTATCTCATTCATTTCATTGATGTTTCACATGTGGCATACCTGCTTATGATTAGTAGGCCTGCGAAGAAATCATCAAACATCTGCTTTGTACATGTAGTCATAAATATAACAAATCATAATTTTATCATGCATCATTGTTAGATGAATTTCCAATAATTAAAACAAATTTTGTGGAGTTTGAAGTAATGAGTCTACCATGAATTCGGAGACAACTTCTGGTAATGAAGCCAAAGCTATGGGTACACCCTAAGCACCGATCAAAGCTGCACACACACAATCTTCAGCATTTCTGAAATGCACGAAAAGGTTGTCACCAAGCACACATCTTTACCGACCCGTACCCCTACTGCAAACGCGCCCCGTCGTCCGGGCGATCGTGCACAAAGCCCCCTCTCTGCGAGACGAAAAGGCGAAGCGGCCGCACCTGTGCCTCCGGTCGGCAAACTCGTCGTGGTAGACGGCGTCGTAGCGGCCGGGGAAGGGCTGTCCCCGGCCCCTGCTGCCGTAGGTGCCCCTCTGCAGCCCCCTGAAGACCCCCCGGGCTGTGCGGGGAGGGGGCTGCACTTCGTATCGTCCGTAGCCACGGCCGTCAAACGCCACCCCCCGCGCATCCCTGGGCAAACCAAAGGGCGCTCTCGGTGAGCTCGCTGCCAGGGACGGCTCCATGCACACATCAACTAGCGCCACGGCGCAGCCGGACGAGCCCCTGAAACGTTTCGAGGAGACCTCATGTGTCAGGGGAACGAGTACGCCACGCCACTGGTCACAGGCACGCTACGCAACTATAGTCCGTTGCAACCTAAGAACGAAGGGCAAGGGCAAGACGGGCCGGGGAGGAGGAAGCAGATGGAGCGCTGGAGAAGAAAGGGGGAAACCTCCTTCTCTCTTTAGCGTTCCGTCTGCTTCCTCCTCCCCGGCCCGTCTTACCCTCGCCCTTCGATCTTAGGTTGCAACGGACTATAGTCGGTGAACTACACAACTGGTCGGACGAGTCACGGACGCCTTTCCAGAGTACCGGAACTAGCACAGCAGCATTCTTGTGCAAAGCACCGAACGAGAACCAATACGGAATTGCTACGCGAAACTTCGTAGCGCAGGATTGTCCGGCTGAGCAAGCCGAAGTGGAAACAAAGCTTTTGCAGCTACAGTCGAGACCTGTTATTACGAAGTCAATGGGAATCGGAAATCACTTCGCTATATCCGATATTTCGTTATAACCGACTTCCTTTATAACGAAGTGCAAAAGGGAATGGGATATTGTGATCGCTTCACTGTAGCCGCTATTTCGTTATAACTGGTCTCGACAGTATTTAGAAAGGACGCTTCCGAGTACTTAATGCGTAACAACTACGAATACCTCGCTTTGTGACCGGTTGCGGATGGCTCTACATTTGTGCGCGAAATCTCGGGGCTTTAATTCGGCTAGCATTGAGGAGGCTGCACGGAACCAACTAGTAAGCACAATTTGCCACGGAGTTCCGTGCTCTGATAGCGCGTTCAATAACTCCAGACGGCCATTCGTGCGGCTCCACCCAAGACGCTCGAATGTTGATATCAATGCATCTAGAGTGCTCTGTCTGATCTTAAAGGGGTACTCCAGCAATTCTTTTTTTTATTTTTTATCAATCTGCCTCAAAATTGGCTCAACGCACCAATAGACACGGTTGTGCCAGTCCCCCAATTCATGCGGTGAAGAAGACATTTTACGAAGTTACTGAATTCTCTAGCTTCATTCTTATTGTGTTTCGTAAGCCGAGAGCCCCTCCTGGCAAGACTGAAGTGTGACGACAGAAATTATATGAACTGGGCAGTAAACCACGTTCCCAACTGAATACAAGATGTCTCATAGTAGGAAAAGAGTGCTTGGAAGCTCATTCACTAAGAAGCTTGAAAAATCGCTTGACATACTCTGTTTAAAACTGCCTGTGCGACCTGAAAGTTTGTAGCGTTTGTGACGTCACACCACTGGAGAGCACGCAGAAATTTGAATGTAGGTTTTGACATCGTGTTTATTTATGGTTTTCTCAATGGCTATTTTGAATTTCGAGACAATAAATAGCATACCGCGAAGACTATAGTTCGGGTATTTAGAAAATCCAATTTGTTAAGGTGGCTGAGAAAACGGCTGAGGTACCTCTTTAACGTGGGCTGCAGCAAAGGCCATTTGCTTGAGCTCAGAATGCTACCCTACTTCACCAAAGCTTGCGCCGCAAAAGCAGCTGCCAAAGCTAAGTTCCCGCACTTGTGGCCTTTGTTGTAGACCACGTCAAGATGCGACAAAGTATGGTTTCGTGCAGAGCCTCCAGAGAGCCGGTCATTTCAATAACAAAACAAAGCAACGAATGACAAAGCCCCAAAAAGGTTTGAGGCCAAAAATAAGATTCACATATTGATTTTTGATTACTCATTTATTTACGGTGCACTCCATACGTGCACCCAGTCACATTTTTGAGCCCCATAAGTTACCTTGGACTCATCACTCACCAATCCCTCAGTAAATCCCACTAATCGGCACTCCTCAAGCTTTGCACGAGCATAGGAATGCTGGCCACGAACGCTCTTAACACTTTGTCTTTCGCGTCATGTCAATGAGCGCTGACATCAGCTGTGCACGCACGGTCAATGCGCTATTGAGGTTGGCATGCTCGTGCTCGGGGCATACCGAACAAGACAGATCTAGAGTGACTAAATAAGCTACGCTTCACTGTAAGAGCACTTCGGCCATCTTAGTGCTCAAAATTATTGTCTCCATTTATCCAAAGCGTCATCTAAATGGATAAATGATTTTTTGTTTTCCAGGAACGTTAGAACGGTTCGCAACGGAGCAGATCGATCTCGCCCCAGCTTCCCAACACCGCGTACAGAGCTCAGGAAAGCCACATTTTTTTTTATTTGCGGCAGTCGCCGATTGCATTCGCCCTGCACTAAGCATCAAAATGGCAGCACCCACAAGAAACTCCGGAAATAGAGTGCCGACACTACAAGCGTAGCTTGTTTAGTGGCTCTATCCAGACGCAACAGACAGCTAAACGCATGGAGGTAGGGAGAAACTTCTCGAGGCGACATGACACCGCCAGAGGTGAAGCCAGCCGGAGCCCCGAGGCTGACCAAAACAGCCATTGAGTCAGCTCTTCTCTTCATCCATTAGCACCTCTTGGTTTTGGTCATCGTTGGGGGCGTGTCCCTCCGCAGGTCTGGCTTCACCTCTGGTGGTGTCATGTCGCCTCCAGAAGCTGCAACACTTGAAATAAGCGAGGCCCTTTGAACCGACGCCCTAGCGATCACGCGACAATGTCGTTGCATAGCTCGTACGCGGCCCTTCTCAAGAGAGCATCTTCCCCTAGAGTGCACAGAGAGGTGGCAGAAAGCACCGACCTTGGAAACCTGTCGTCCCGGATGACATCGAACTCCGCCCGGCGGTCTCTCCTCTCCCAGGGGCGCTCTCCCTGCACCACCTGGCCAGACATCTCGATCTTGTCGAAGAAGGACGTCTGGCACTCCCGACTAGCAAAATCAACCTGGGAGAGAGTGCAGGGGGCACACGTTCACCGCCCGGCGTCCAGCCTAGCGCAAAGACCGAGCGCCAGTCGTCGAAGAACCGCTCTAAACCCTGTTTTGTCCCGAAGACCGGGTCACACGTACACCACAGCGCTACCTCGGCACAGAAAATAATGCCGATCTTTCCAACGCAGACCAGACTTTGCTTTATAGCGCAGGTATGTCGGTGAAAAGTTACGTTCGAGTTGGTGCTGCATTGGTGCTGTCTGTAGTGTTGATTTACTGCCGCAATGTGCGTGTGAATAGGCCTTAGGTGCGAGCTAAACCGAGGCTACGTGCAAAAGGCCCACACTTTGATCCTAGGTGTCGTGCACAGGGACATGCAGTGCAAGCGCCGTTAGAAACTACATCGTCGCGCTTGTAGTTCGCGCTTCAATCGCACTTAACATAAAGTTGGTTTATTTCAATGCTGAGACAACATCACTTGGGAGATGGAAGTCTCTGTAATATTTTCTCTACCAGTCATGAAACGAACACGGACCTCCACCAACATGATGGCGCCATGTGCGCACCGAATGGCCACTGTGGTGTGTCGGATTGCCTCGACTGCCGCTGCCCAATCGGTTCGCCATGCGGCTGAGACGGTCAACATGCACTTATGTTCTTGTGCATTTCAGCAGCCGACAAAAAATTAATGGACCTTCAGCCATCGGGATGGCGTTGACCCACCCACTACAGTCGACTCTCATTAATTACAACTCTCTTAATTCAAACTTGCGGATAATTCAAACTAACGTGCAGGCCCCATCCTATGCGTCCCTATGGGAGGAAACTCCCGTTAATTCAAGCTCTGTTTTATTCAAACAAATTTTTGGTCCCCCTCGAGGTTGAATTAACGAGATTCAACTCCCGAACAACCGGTAGGACTGATGCAAGCTTAGTCAGCTTTAACAAAGAGTTCGGAAGAAATTTCTTTCTGAAATTCCCCATGAGATTTCCTCCCCTAGTAAACTTGCAGTCAAAGGAAACAGCATAGCTGCCCTTGCACACTGGTGTTCGTTCGAGGGACATCCTACTGGACACCTCACTCTTGTGAGATTAGAAACATCCCAGAGCCGAGTATAGAGACTTTGGTCAATGGGAGGAGCGGGCAGACCCAGGGCGAGCACAAGACGCAGCTAGAAGGTTTGACATGCCCTTTTGGCCAACCAGAAGCCAAAAAGAATCTAGCGGTGGTAGCGAGAAACACTTTTGATAAATGCGTAAGAGTTCAATGAAGTAACTCTTTTTGGTTGAAAATATAGTCACGTGATGTTTTGATTATGATCATGCAAAAAGATGTAAGAATCGAACGTGACGCTCAACCTTTGCTTTGCTCGGACGAAGTACGACCACTTCGACGTGGCTCAGACGGCACTTTCCTGGCCCTTGGCGCCTCGCGTACAGATCACATTGATCGTCCTCTTATGTTTTGGTTTTGCACGACCATAATTGAAAAATCATGTGCACCATATTTTCAGTCACCGAGAGTTACTCCAACGCACTTATTAATTTTGTTTCTTGCGACCGCTGCCAGGGTATTATTCCCGGCTTGTGGCTGGCCACGTTTGAATCTGTGGAGACGCCCGGGAACACGCTCAGCCCACTTTCGACCAATGGTGTCTCCGCATCTGCCTCCTATGCATCCCATTAAATACCATTGGGGAGGAGATCCAATCGTAGCGCCCCTAGCAGCTCACTTGAGAATGTGGACAACAGAAATTGTTTTTGTTTGTATTTCTGACGTAGCACTCGGCCAACGCAGCCGAAGACTGCGTTAGCATTTGGCTATGTCGGATGATACACGCAAGTGCTGCATCAGTGCTTATGTTCACTTGGCAAGGCAGCAACTGAATTAAACACGTGTCTCAACCAAATGCAGATGTTCGTGTTCAATCGAGGAAGGTGACACAAAGAATCCAGTCCACAGGCCTCGTGTCGGGTAAACGCCAAACTCCGTGGAAAACAAAATGGACAAAACGCCCCCCACAGTTGGAGCTCCTCACCAATAGAGCAGGTCTACACAAATTCTTTGAAGCGACTTTCTCCGGATAGAAAGCAGTGCAAAAGGGGCAAAGTACCTGGAGCTTCTTGCCGCCCAGTACCCGTCCGCGCATCTCCGCGACGGCGTGCTGCGCACACTCGAGGCTGTCGAAGTAGACCAGCGCGTGGCCTTTCTCCCGGTCGATGGCGGCGAAGGAGACTGGCCCGTAGCGGCTGAAAGTGCGGCTGAGGAACTTCTCTGAGACGGTGTCCACGATGCCGTCCAGCCAGACGCACATGGTGGGCATGCTCTTGCCGAAGCCCAGCTTGATCCGGTTGGCCCCCAGGTTCTCGCCGTCCAGTTTGCGCATGGCCTTCACCACGCTCGCAATGTCCGAGTATTGGATGAAGGCGTACGAGGACGCTGACCCCTGCTTCTTGATGTCGATCTCCTGAAAGGGAGGGCAGACGTCAGGGGTGCCGATAACTCTTGTCCTAGTGCAATCTAGTCACCAAATAGGCTATGCTCGGGATATCGGCCCTTCATTCCCCGATTATACTGTGAGTGCCACCATTTTGGTGCCAAGTGTATAGCGGATGAGACTAGCGATAGCAATGACAAAAAATGTGACTTGCGAAACTTTACATAGTGTCGGGAAACTCGGGCGACATTCCTTTTATTCCATCGCAGACTGTTTTAAAATTTCTGAAGGAGAAAAACCGTTTCCTGCGATTTCAGATAAAGGTTCAAATAACTGGCAACAATGACCTTAAGAACCAAGGAGGCTTAAGTGTTATCTCTGAGGTGTAGCTTGTTTGGTGACTGTAGTTCAACCATGTCCAGTTTCTGCGACCACCTTTGTTTCTGGCACGAACCGTTCTATACAGATGACAAAGCTGCACAGTCAGTGGTCCGAGCCAGAGCTAAAGGTACTCGATCGTGTCCTTTCACAAAACAAACGATTTCGGTCAAGTCAGAATTACCCTTACCTAGATGTCGAACGCATGGGACAAGACAACGGAAGTAAAACTGTATTGGTGGAAGAAAGGGATTGTGAGGATAAACGACAAAGGGAAGCATGCTCAAAGAGAAACGACTGTTTTTACTAAGCTTTTTGGTTGACTTTTCCGTCATTATGGCCAACTGCCCAATTGCAGAGAGCGAAACTAAGCAGCTCTTCTTTAAACCGTCAAATGGGCCGAGGGCACAAACACGACGCGCAACATGGCACCGACTGTCGGCCGCAATGCCCACTCACAATGATCTCGCCGAACTGGTCGAAGTGCTTGCGCAGCTCGGAGGTGGTGATGTCCTTCTCAAGGTTCCCAATGAAGAGGGTACGGGTAGCCTTGGGGTGGTACTCGTCCAGCTCTGCCTCCAGCGGCCGGAACTCATTGTCCTCCCCGTCCAGGCCCTCGTGTGCCGTCACCTCGATCTTGCAACCGAAGAACAGCTTGTCCTTGGACACTTCCAGGGCCTTTTCCACGTCCTCCGGCCTGCCACAACAGAACACATGGCGCCACACCTTAGTCGTCCTTTTCGTAACACCGATCTCTAGCAGACTGCTTGAACTGTTAGTGAACAAAGCGATGACCACTAGTCGCATCCATAACACTGTATCTTGCAACACCAGAATTACACTCCGTGTCACTAGTTGCGTGCAGTACAGGAGAAGGCAATGCCAGGCAAGGAGAAAAAGGACAAGCACTAGGAAGGCTGGGAAGAAGGAGAGAAACCTCCTCTGCTCTCTAACGTCCCTATTGTTCTCCCTTTCTCCCCTCGCTCTCCTCTCATATCCCACCTTCCAAGTGCTTGCCCTTTCTCTCTTCACCTGGCGTTGCCTTCGCCTGCACTGCACGCAACTAGTGACACTGAGTATAGGAGGCTCATGCGAAGTACCCCATGGTAGTTTTGATCAGTGCCACTGTGCAGGCTCCCAAAGGGTACAGAGGAACATGTTCCCTTGATTAACAAACTTCGCCGACAAGGCGGGCGTCAGAATTTTTTGAGCAGGCGATACTGGTCGCCGATCAACACTAACTGCCAGTCGGCAGCTACTTCGGTGCCCTTCCCTGAAAACATTCCAGAATCCTGCGGCTAGGTGCGTTGTAACAAAATGATTTGTGGAGATGGATTTCATGTCTATTGAACGAACAAAAGTGGAAGCCGATTTTACCAAAACTATTACGACATAGGGTGGGTATGTATATGCCTTCCACACCTCGCAAAAACATTGGCAGAAATTACACTCTGTTGAAAAGGTTGCGGGGGAGGCGTCTGTAGCAGACAATGCAGCCTTTCAGTTGGTTGGTGCCGGTCATGTGTGCACAAATTTCATGTGCTCTTTGAATGACCTCGGATGCGTCGCAGAGCAACGCCATTCACCAGTCTCCTGGTCAACCACACAGCTGACGCCTTTCCAGCATTTTTCTAAATTCAAAACAAGTCTCCTGAGCTTGCACGCAAAGCTTTAGAACTAATGGAAGTAGCTGCCAAAAGATAGCGCTCGAGTGTGCATTACTCTGTTGCCTTTAAAAGTAAATGGTGACTCTAGCTTTGATCTGCCCCATCCCACTCGTTGAAACAAAGTATCTTTGCGCCATTTTTACGTTCCAATGGCAAACTAGCCTGTGTCAAAAGGTAGGTACTCACTTCTTGAAGCAAACGACGGCGTAGCGCTCTGTACCTTGACCGATGACCTTGACTACGGTGACTTTGCCGTGCTTCTTGTACTCGTGGAACAAGCCGTCCTTGAGACTTGTGTCTGCAGAACACGATTTCGTTCCTGTTACGTCCTCGCCCCCAGGTTTCCAAACTAACTCGGGTCATTGTAGGCATGTCCACAAGCACAAGTAACTCGAGATGACACTAAGGAAAACATCTCTGCAACACAAGGCACTTGATTAAAGGTTACGTCCCTGTACAGTCATGTCTCTTTAATATAAACCCTGTTAATATGGATTGCCTGCCATATGAACACCATTTTTGGGGACAAAAAGGAAAAATATGTGCATTTTTGTCCTGTTATTACGGACAATCACATTACGGACGATTTCTGGGGGAAAGGAGGCGTCCATATTATTGAGACACGATCGTATTGAGTAACAATCACAAACTCACATCCCCTTCATCACTTGCGAAACCATCAACTAATGGATGTTACTTTCACTGTTGTTTACTACGGATAAAGCCATCGTTAGTCCAGTGACACCAGAAATAGTGCCTATGGAAACTGACAGTTTTGTTACCACCATAATTATTTTTAACCTGTCACATTCCCCCCTTTTAGATCTGGCAGCTTTTTCGATACAACTTTATGGAACTTTACCCGGTTGTCTAGAGATGATCCGACTAGAATGCATGCACTGGGGATAGCCAGCAGGGGATGACTCTGAGTAAAACAATAGCTCTGGCTGTTGCAAATATGCTACGTCATAAGACACCCTTAAAATTAGCACTTGGTTTGTCCAGATTCTTTAACTCGTCCTTCATTGTTTTCTCTTGTGCTGTTTTTATTCAAAATTAGACAATTTAAAACACAAAATATTTATTACACTATTTCAACAAGGTATGCAGGCACTGCAAAAATAACAATATCTGGCCTTAGACCCCTTCTAGTCCACTAGTGCCCCCTTCTACCTGCCTAGAACATTTGATTTCTAACATTGTTTCAAGAAAGGGCACATATGACACTCTCTCTACAAACACAAAAATTAAGTGAGAGCCCACTCATTCATGTTCTCAATCAGTGGTTCTCAACCACTGATGTTTCGTGGACCCCTTGTGAACCTGCGGAGATGGTGGAGAACCCCATTCGTGGTGAGGGGAAGGGAAAGGTAGAGGTTAATTAAGATAGTGATTTAATAAATGAATATAACTAAGGGCTAGTGCAGTGTTGGAGGTAACGCGTTACAAGTAACGGAGTTACTGGTAATGCTTTACTTTTTCCGGTAACGTAGTAACAATACTCTTTACTTTTCCAAGACAGTAATGGGTAACGTATTTATGTTACTTATTTCGAGTAACTTGCAACATAGTTACGTTAGTAATTATTTCATCCTTCCCAGAACTTAAAAAAAATTACATTTCAATTTTTTTTTTCGTGTTTTTGATGCCAAGTCCGTTATAGAAGCAAACTAGTCAACAAGAATCTTTTCATTTTTTTTTTGTAAGTATTTATGCGAAACTGTAAAAAAGATAAAGCAATTATGTCCAGTTTCTGCATGAACATAATGCTTCTTGAAATATGGCGCTTATACAAACGTGTACCATCAAAACAGTAAAACCCGTTAATTCAGATCCCTAGAATGTCTTGGCGGACACCAAAGGTTCTGCAGGCCTCCCCCCCCCTTTGAGAACCATTGGTCTAAATGAATTACTAAAAGAATTCATGCTACTCCTTGTTCCTAAAATTTAAGCTTAACTTTTCAGGTTTACTATTTCTTCACAAGCTGGCCCACTAAGCAAGTGTGACACACTGTGTGCATACAAAGGGAGTGAAGCCTCTCTGATTTGGACACTTGTGATCTGGGCCACCCAACTTCACCAACTACCCAAGTCCCAAAGATACCCCGTCATTGGAACAGTGACGAAGCCATTGTGTGCTTGCTTGTTATTTTGTTTTCTTGGAGGAGGAGGAGGAGGGGGGAATAATGCACATGTAATCCTCATGGCAACTGCACTTAAAAAAAAACTTTTTTTTCCTTTTTTAATAGTGTTAGTTGTTAAGTTAAAGCAGCTTGGCAGCTAAAGTTGAAGCTTGGGCAAGTTGGTATGAAATACTTGAGAATTAAAACAGTGCAAAGGACGACGGACCAGATGAAGAAAGACATAGCGCTGTAACTGAGTGTTTCTTCATCTGGTCCCTCGTAGACATTTTAGAAGCACAAGCACATTGCACTTCCTGTACGTAGTTCCATCCATTGATTTATTTAGCAAAAAAAAAAGGGTTTCTAAAAGTGTCTGCGAGCAATGACGCACAATTAATTTGTTACATTTTGTTCCAGTTCAATTATTGAAGTCTGCATACGTAACATATTTCTGAATACCAGAAAAGTGATGACTATGTAGCAATTAAAAATAATTTCATTCGTGTAAACATCATCCTGGTACTTTTGGGCAGAAGGTTCACACAAGCCTTCAGCCCCATAAGTCTACCTTAGCTACACCACTGCATTGCATACCCACCACATCCCACATCCATGATCTAACTTCCAAGAAGTGTCCGACTCCAAACTACAAGGATACCACCCTTGGGGCTTCCACCGAATCGGGATTTTTTCCCCGGGCGATTGCCAGAGGGGTCTCCCACTGACCTGTGGAGCGGACAGGGAGGTTGCGGACGCAGATGCCGAGCGGCCGCTTGTCGTCTCGGTCCGAGAGGGACCCGTCCATGACATTGTTGCCCTGCAGGCTTGACAGGCAGTGGTTGTTGGGGGCCGCAATGGCCGACTGCAGGAACGGGCTCGACGAGGGCGCTGTCACCGCGCTCGCCGGGCGCTCCCCCCGCGATGCCTTGCCGCTCGACTGGTGCCTGCACCGGGGCAAAGCGTCCCTTAGTCATGCCCGAGGCCGAGGCTAGACTCGCAAAACCCTCTTGCGACAGAACGCACAACGTCTGAGAACAAATCCGCACGATCTTAAGGGGACACACCCCCTAGGGGGGTCAACTTTTTAACCCTTGTCTTAAAATTAATGAAATTTACAGGGTAGGCTGGCGATCGTGCTAGAGGGTGTATAACAAAATTTCAGGTCTGTTGGTTATATGAAAAGGAAATTAGAGTGGCTTCTATCAGCAACACGCCTAGATTGTTTAGTTAATCTATCGTGAAAAAACTATCACAATATTCAAGATTTTTATTTGCTAGATATGTATCAGAATGCCTAGAAGGTGCGGCTATGAAATGTTTTTTCTAAAAAGTCATTTATTTCTATAACATTTCTCTTCTGAAAAATTAGTCAACTTTTTGGTCTTCTGTGTCTTCGACAAAATGTTCACATTTTTTTATAAAAGAAATCCGTAAAGTGACAAAAAAGTTTTATAGCCGCATTCCTTATTAAATTTCAGTCAGGAAAAGGGAAGAATGAGCCTGTCCTGTTTTGCCATTATCAAACGATAGATTGACTAATGGAATTTATACCAAAAAGTAGAACGGAGGAAAATGCATTCAAAGTACTCCAAACCCTACCTTTTCTTTAGCTTTGGTAGACAGAAAATAACTGATAAAACATTAACTATACAGTGTAAAATAATTAAACTTTTTGGGGATACTTTCTAGGTGTTGGTGGGTGTAAATATGTCCTTTTTTAAAATCAACTTTTTTTGCAGAAATTTTCTTTCTGGGCAGTGTCTCCCCTTAACTTTGCGCAGGTCATAGTCGAACCCTCCGACAGCTTCTTCTGAAGTCCGCTTCACATATATGCATTCGACTACGACCGAGGGCACGACAACCGGTTTGTAAATTTCTTCGGACTGCTTATGACCGGCTGTGCAGTGAAACGTTCTCGCGACAGAATGTACAACATCCATGAATGAATCCACACATTCTTAACTTTTGCGTAAGTTACAGTCCAACCCTTTGACAGCTTCTTCTGAAGTATGTTTCACACACAAGTGTTCAACTACGACCGAGACCGTGACGTGTTTTTAAGCCTCTTCTAACTGCTTACGACAGGCTGTGCAGAAGCGTAGCCAACCGCAAGCAGTCGCAAAAGGCTTAAAACTAGTTTTAAGTCTTTCCAATGTTAAGCAGTCGCAAGTGTGTGAATCAGCCCTAAGGTGTGTTTTAACTTCTCAGGACCAACACTGTCACCTGTATCACTCGGTTGCACCGCTGCGTCAAGCAAGGTAGCAAGCTGACAATGCACACTGGGTCCGATTGGTTCCCCATTTCTACCCCAGGCTCGGAGGTGCCATGACTCGGAGATGTGTCGGAGTTAAAGGGAAGCAACTCACGTGGGCGACTGTGCCTTGTTGGGCGAGAGGGAGCGACTGCTGCTGTCACTCGAGCTCGAGCGCACCTTAGAGGAGGAGCTCCCCAGGCGGCTGCCGCTCGAGCTCCGCGAGCTCGAGCGCGACCGCGACTGGGACTGGGAGCGCTGAGACTGCTTGTTCACGTGGCTGCCGCTGCTGCCCCGCCGCCCAAGCGACGAGGGCGGAGAGGTCACCGTCGAGCTGACGGTGCTCGCCTTGCGGGAAGGGAGGGTGGCCCCGGGCAGGCTGGCCCGGCCCGAGGGCGAGCTGTGGCCGGAGTCCTCAGGAAAGGCGTCCCCAACGGGGCTCACCCCGTAGCCCGGGGGCTCCAAGTGCGAGGGCTGCGAGGGCGGCTGGGGCCGCACCCCGTGGCTGCGGAAGTGCCCCACCGTCCTGACAAAAGGACAGATCCGTGAGTGCCTCCAACAACATCATTTTCATTCTAACACCTCTTGTCAAACCCCTCCGGAGAGTGACCGATTAGGTATAACCGAAATGAAACTGAGAAATTTGTTTTGTTTCTTGGTTAGAACAATGCAGTTGCACGGCCTTTTTGTCGGTCTGGCGTATCTTGGAGACAAGGGAAATTGGTACGAGGCAACGGCTGAAACTGAAATGACCGTGCTTAGCTTACTGTAACAACCGCAATTCGTCCTTTTTTTACCGTTTTTAATGTTTACTTTGCAACATCAAAAGTCTATGCACATCCATGTATTCAATGGGCAAACCTCTATAAGCAGTATGAAAAAACAATAATTAAAATGCCTGTAGAAAAAAAATATTTAGGGGCTAATTGTGGTAAGGACGAAATATATCCACATATTCAATCTCTCTGGGAAAAAAACTTTCCCTAACCAGAGTAGGCCAGAGACTACTTCATAGGGTAGCTTGGTCCTTCTGAGCGAAACAGCTTTAAATTTCTGTGCAGAATGACAAAATTAGGCACGAAGGTTGCCACATGTTGCAGGCAGAGCCACAAAAGCTCAGAGCAACAGCATCATTGGCGGAGGAGAATGAGTATGAGGGTTGCTTCAACGTGAAGCCCAACTTATTGCTCTACTCGCTCAATGGGATGCAATGACAACTGTTGTAATGACCAATGCAAAACATAACGGCTTGCATTTGGCATTACAGAAGAGAAGTTACCATGTCATGGCAGTGATGAAAACAAAGCTTCAATTGCAATGAAGTATGCATCACTAATGAAGATCCCTAGAAGCAACATGCAGCACCCAGTGTCACATAACGGTCCTTAGACGTCTCCTGTTCGAAAACAATCCATCACACTATGTGGATAGCTCTTCCTAGGGACAAACCACACCATCTTAGCTGCGCTTTCGGCGTTGGGGGGTAAATCGCATTGGGTCAAGAAACCACTAGGAGAACTGGGGGGATGTCCATACTTGCTTCGAAATTTTGCCGAGTGCTCACAAAAAGCTCTTTGGCTTTTCCACCATTTTAGGAAGCAGTTTCGACAGTTGCCACCTAAGCCTATGCCCGTAGAAGTGCGTCCGGGGCTGGTGACGCATGCGAGACGCCACTGACAAATGCAGCCGTACGAAGACGGTGAGGATAAACAATCCACGAAAGCAGATCTGGGAAGTGGGAATTAGCGTGGATAAAAGACTGGCATTATCATCTACCGTACCAGCTATGACCACTGATGGTATCAAAATGCCTTTTCTCCAACTGCACGAGCTGCACGTTCTAAAACTGTTTAACGCAACAAAAAAAAAGTTTCTTTAAACAGGCCGTGGCGACGTGCACAGGACAGGAGACGGACCAAATGACTGATTATGGGAGTGTGCCCGGTACGCACCTGTCGGCGCCGTCCTGGTACGGGGGAACATTGGAGGTGGCGGAGCGGGCGTACCGGTCCCGCGATCGGCCTCGACTCTGGTAGCCGTCCTCGTCGTGGTAGCCCGCCGCCCGTCTCACGTAAGGGTCCCGCTCCCCCGGACGGTCGTAGTAGTAGCCTCGGTCGTCGCCGAACCTGCTGCAACAGAGCAAGCATCGCGGCTTCAGTCAGAACCCACAAAGATGCAGGACACCCCCATGCATCACGTCCTAGGCAGCACGAAGGTCCCGTGAACGCCGAAACGTCCAAAGCCCATCCGCAGAACCACCCGTGCTGCCGGGAAGGCCGTTTGAAAACACAAATTAGCCACTCTGACACGACTCTCGGAAAGGCAAGAAGGAAGAGTTTGCAGCTAAATCCAGTCACTGACAAAATGACAAGGGTGGAACGGAGTTTCAGTTGTCCCACCTTTATCCAGCACAAGAGCCAAAGCACAGCTGAAGGCAACGAGCGCATGCTGGAGGCCGGGGCGTCCCAAAGAGACGCCTGCCGTCCTCATCTTGTCGGCAAATAGAGTAATCGAAGCTCAATGATACCCTGCCTCCCGCCGCCATTTCAAAACGACCGGCGGGAGGCAGGGAGCCGTCTGCTCGTTGAGACTTCCATATATGCACTCCCCCTTCATTAAATTCTGCAATTACAAAGATCTCAACTTTTTTTACACTTTTTTTTTGTGCAATACTTTTTTTTTAAATATTTTATAGAGACTGCATGTAGGCACAAGGCTGTCGGCAACCCATATGAAAATTTCTAAACATGCGAAATTGCAGGGAAGAAAGCCAGAATTACCATGATCACTGAATCCATTTATATCAAAAATGCTTAGAAATGTTATTTCAAAGTTTCAACTTGCTAATGAGGTCCATGCCAGTTCTACGAAGCCATTATCACTGCAACAATACTAATCAGTCGAAGAAGGCAGTCTTTTTGCGGTGATTTTGCCACTTTTATTTATGCTGCATGGTTTCACTGGGCATTTAACAGTTGGAAGAGCAATGACGAAAGCTCCAGTAAGCCACAACACTTCAGTATTGAACCAAATCAAATATTACAATATCGGCAATACAGCTTTCGCAAAAATTCAAGAAGGACTTTTGCTCGGGCAATTGTGGGGGCAATTGCGAGTTCAAAGTTATAGATGAAAAGGACAGACATGAAGCAGAGCAGACACAGGCTGTTTTGTTATCACCCAACCTCTTTTGCATTCTGAACACACAAAAGGCTGAACAAGTGTGCTCTTATTCCATTTATCTTTTTTTTTTTTTTTTTGAATTTCCAATTGGCTAACTCCAATAACAAACTGCCCCCCCCCCCCCCCCCACCCCAAAAGAAAAATAAAGAAGTTTGATTGAGATACAAATTGAGCCAATAAACAAAGTATTATTTTGAAAGTACGCTTCAACTCGTTGTGTAAGAGCAGCTGGGAGGTGCAGTGATTCAATTACGTGCAAACTCACAGAAAACAATTATAAATGTGAGAAGCTATTTTTCTTTTTTTTTTTTTTTTTAAGTTACAGAAAGAAGGACATAGACAAGCCGGTTTGCCTATAACATGGTTCAAAATCCTACACTGTTTCTAGAATGAACCCTTGTCATGACACCCCACATTGTTGTACATGTAACTGTAGAACAATGCGCAGTGCTTGCGAACTTGTATGAAACACGGGAACTGCGTGTTTTCTCGTAGCAGCGCTATTCTGGATGGAGCTGAACAACTGCTCCTTGGCGAAGCACTTCGAAATGGGTAGCTGAGTACTACATCACAAAACCGTTGCTCGGCTGCTGCCAGGATAGCACTCCCATTAAAAATACAGTTTGCTTGTTTCGTTTAAGTAAATGGTGAGCACTGCACATGCAACTGTTCAATGTTACCACAACACATCCAATGCAGTACACTGGCAACAACGAAGTTGGCACATGGCCACCCACCTCTTTTGTGATGTGAGGGTGCATTCACGAGCAATTTTCGTATACTTTACTGAACAACATACTACACAAAAAAAAAGTGTTGCGCACAGTATAAGCATGAAGGCTAACAACCACGAGAGACTATCAGCTGTTGCCGAGAGTTTGTTTTATTTTTGGACAAAGGTTTCACTGAAGGACCACGAATATTCACTAAAACACAACAATGTGATAGATAGACTTGACACTCAGCAGTCATATGGTGACATTTCCATCGTACGATATCCGAGCTATTCACAGCTGTTATTACATGGCTGCCACGAAAAACGAAAAACACAAAACGGAGCAACAAAAACTTGAAATTGTGGTGCTTGGACCATTTAATACGACTAGAGAACCCAACGTTTCAAACTTCATAAGGATACCAGAATAAAGGAAACACACTAGCTTCAACCCGTAATAAAAGATTCTAACTTTAGCGAGAAAACAGCTAAATAGGCCACGCGAGCCAAAACAGATGCACCCAGAGATTGTGTTGTGCCATCATTACAAAGCCATTTCCACCCCGGCCAGTCCATTAACAACAGGCTGGCCAGGTCTGGCTGCCCACCCCCATTCCATGCAGACGACACATAACCATAAGAGCCACGAAAATAGGACTACGCGGAGGGACCAGCGCTTCTGCGAGGCCATTCTCAGTACCATAACACAATGCGCAACGTCTCAAGGTCCCGTCGTGTAAGAGCGAGAAGAGGGTGACGAACCGGGAAGCGACGAGCATACCGTTATAATTGTTTCCAAAATCCCCACAATCTTTATTTTAGGCTTGCGCAATTTGTCTCATGACTTTATTTGACGGCAAAACGAAGATGTCTAGAACCTTCTACGAGCTAAAGGAGCCTTCAACTCGCATGCGGGACTTCCATCACTGTTTGTATGATTTTTGACTTATTTGACTGTACTTTAATGATGCAAAACTATCAATAATGTCAAAAATTATCAATAGTACTACTGATAACTGACTATCAATAGTACCACCAATAGTATTATTGATAGTTGACTATCAATAGTACTATCGATAGTTGGCTTTTGGTCGACTATTGATAATACTGAGTCAGCTTTCAGAAAAATACAGAGTATTATAAAAATGGAAGAACCTCCCAAAAAGGGAATGACGACGGATATGTATGGGCAGACGACGCGTGGTTCTGGGCGAAACATCAAACTGGAAGTTTTCATTGCATTCTCATACATTTAATTTAGAGGCAAAGAGGCAAAACAGAAATGGCATTTTGTGAGTTATGCTGCGCACATATTTTATTTATTCATGGGGTTAGATATCAGGCTTCACACTGCAGTATGCCCGCATTTGTATAACTATAAAGTATCATCAATATTTTTCTTTTCCTTTGTCCTAGGGAAAACATCTGCTGCAGACATTTAGCATCAAGGTTTTCATTTGTTTCATGTTTGTGTTCTCTTTATTATTAAATTGTTGCATATTACTTTTCATAGCTCTGACCACTGATAGGTGAAAATAAACACACCGCTAACAATCTTTTTTTTTTTTCTTTTTTTCTGGTGATGACTATTTATAGCGAAGTCTCAAAAATCTGGAATTAGCAGTTTGACAAAAGTAGTTAAGTGCGACTTTTTGTTCAGTTCTATGCTTTGGCCTATTTTAATAACGGTGGCTGAGAACGGATTTACCTGTTGGTAAAAAACACAGCGTCAAAATACAGAAGCCATTGCATAATTTATAAATAAATATTTTGGAATCAATAAATGTAACAGATTTTGTTGTGAATATACCTCAAATTGAACATTTCCAGAAAAAAAGCTTATACCAAGCCAACATAATTAGTTACTGATGCTTTTAATGTTTCCATTCTTTAAATACAATAAGTTTGGGACATAATGTTAACTTAATCAAATATATAGATGAAATATTTTTTCTGTGATCCAAGTAACAAAATTGTTGGCAATGAAGCATTATTTCAGTAAAAAAGCTTGCAAATCCAAAAGGGCAATATTCTTTCCTTTCTCGCAACCTATTTAATTAAAAAATAACACCAGAATTATCTTTTCATCCGGGTAAACTAATGTCCTCACACTTGCGCATTCGATCACCATCGCTTGTATCATATCCAAGCAGGGTTTCGGATTTATGCAAAATATAGTTTACTTATCAGGGGCGAGAGGGATTTTCATTTTTTTGGTCAAGCTCTGCCTATATGAAAAAAAAAAAAAAAAAAAAAGAAAAAAAAAAAAAGGTCACATTCTGGAAAACAAATCTAAAACAGCGAAAAAAACTTCTTATCAATTGATCTCTTTTGTTCATAGTTTTTCAATAGTACACAGTTGATATTTTTTAATAGTTTATTGCCAATGGTTTCTGAGATCTACCGTTTTTTTATTGTTTTCCAATAGTTTTGAGATTGTCCCTCGGTAGCTATGCGGAAGTCGCTCGTTCCAGCTGCGTTTTTCTCCAAGCTACACAATGTTTCCTGGATAGACACAGGACGTTCGTGACCTAAGAAAACACTATTGATAGCTTTGCAATAGATGGCTATCGATAGTTTCTCAAAAATCGACCATAAACAATTTCATGTTTTTCAGCTATTCATAGTATGCTATCGAGTTACATGACTATTGATATTTTTACAATAGTCGACTATCAACAGTATAGTATCGATAGTTTTACGATAGTCGACTATCGATAGTATACACCAACACACCCCTGGCGACACATTGCTACGGTGGTGCTGCTATTGCTAGGGCGCATGCGCGGACACTTCACGTCACGTGAATCCGGTTCCTACGCACGCGCAGTGCCCACACCTCGTGTAGAAATTGTGCGTTTACCCACACCTCGTGATGGACTGTTTTTAAACAGCATGCTGGCCTTGAGTGTCTATAGTACTATCAATGGTTTTACGATAGCCAACTATCGATAATTTTACGATAGTCGACTGTCGATAGCACTACCGACAGTATCAATAGCACTATCGATAGTTTTGCACTACTACCGCACTTGTGTCAGGTTGAGTCGCACACTAGACATTCTAACATCTGTAGAAAGGAAGTGTGCGGTGAAGTAACACTTTTGTGAAGTTGCCAGTTTTGATATGGCTTAGTCAAATTTCTCAACTTTTTGGGGGGTCAGTTCAGGGATTTAGCCCATCGCTCTAGTGGTGGCATGGAACAGTGGCCTCACCAAAAATGAATGTTTA